TCTGTTGCCCATCTCCGCATTAAGTTTTGTCTTTCCCCGTCCTCCTCTCCTCTCTTCTGTTAGCTTCGAGGTGTCTGTTGAGAGTCACTCTTTTTGTGTCTCTTCTTTCTCCCTCAAACATTTTTACACATTTCCTTGAATATCACCCTCAGAGAGTTTATTCCAGTGTTCTTCCACGCAGGTCTCCTCAGTGATAACAGGTAGTCTCTCTGACTTTTATGTGTTCTGATCTGTAGTGAAGTCTTCTCTTGTAGTTTTGTCTTTTAGTTTCTGAATGTTGAACCTAAATTACAGGGGTCTGTCTCCGTTGGTTTTCATGGATTTCAGCTTCACCGTATAAGTAGGTTCCTTGAACCAGATAATGGTCTGAGCTCACATCTGCTCCGCTTCTCAACTTTGTGTCCAGCAGACTGTCTGTGTCTCCAATTCCTTGAGAGCGAGATGAAATCTATCTGTTTCGGGGAGTGTACGTTGTGCAAAATCCATATCTCTGGCCTTATATATATATCCTTGTGCTTGTACATGCTGCCTCCGATCACCAGCTCACTGAAGCGCAGAAGTCTGCGAATAATTTTCCGTTCTCATTCATTTCTCCAAGCAATAGTCTCTCGGCTCGTCATGAATTACCTTGCTGTATTATCTGCTCCCAATTCGGCTGGGATTCATACCGCTGAAGGTAATCATCATGAAGTCTTCGACATAGGTTTCTTGCTTTTAGCATTCATCGGCCAGGCTTATCTACAGTCTCAACTGACAGAATTCAGTCTAAGCCGAACAAAGAACTAGACGCATGACAATAGTTGCTTACTGCTTTGTGTTCGGTCAGAGTAACAAATGTCTTTATATGTCTCACTAAGAAAGGCCACTAAGTAATGCGAGTCAAAATTCCTGAAATCAAAGCATCTCTTCAGATAACTGTCAAATGCAAATGTTGTTTCATAGAATTAAGATTTTACCCAAAAACCAATCTAGATAGGTTGGGGGAAACAAGTATACATCCTGCAACTCCAAAATTACTTGTTCTACTTAGACTAGAGTCAAGTTAAAACAATAAACTAATCTTTCGAAATACTTAATATATTTCGGAATCAGAAGTGTGGAACGCTGATGATGCATATATGAACAACCGAAAGTAATACGACAGCATGTTGAATGCCATGCATAATCTATTGGCAAAAAACTCAGCCTAACCAGTCGACTTAAACAATGAAAGTTACCAGCCACTGTTGAATGATGAAAAGCCAATAATAATAATAATAATTTTTGGAAACTACTTCCCGCTACAGCACAACTTAGCAGTTTCCATTCAAATGAATATTGTGGTTTGAAGCTGCTCAAGGCAAGTGAATTAACGGGGAAGTGTATGCGTTGACTCTAAACGCTAAATAATCGGTAATATTTTAGTGAGAAGACATGCAGTTTCAACCAGAATGTAAACAAATTATGAAAGTCAGCTGGTGAAGACAAGAGATCAGAATCTAGCTCTGCATAAATACCCCAAGGATGAAACAGAAAAATAGATAGTTCAGACTATTAAGTCATATGACAGAGCGTCAGAGACATCTGAACTGAAACGGCTGCTGAATGAAAAGAGAACACGAGTGTATTGCGTGAATACATTAGACAATCTTTGTTTTCCCCTTCGAATCAGAATCCAGGAAGACATGATATATATATTCTTTCATATCAATGCATATAGATAATTATGGACATCAGTTTGATTGGAATAATGTCGACATTTTAAACAGAGGAAATACCAAAAGTGCCAGAGAATTCCTAGAAACCTGGTCATCAAAAGAATTTACGATTAACAAACATGTTAATATAGACCAAATCTACCAACTAATAATAAGTAAATTATCACTTGACGAGAAAGTTTAAAATCTATTTCAATAGAAAATGATCCATACATATGTAAAGATGGCTACCAGGAGACGCGATTCTATCACTCATGGAAAATTTAAACCAGTTTACTTTATGCTAAAAATTGCGCTGAAAGGGTATGTTGTCTAGAATGACGGTGAAAGCTCTACAACTAAACTAACCAGATCAGAGAACACTAGTAATTGCAAGAAATAGCATATCCTTTAAAAGATTGAACTGTGGTTTCATTTTTCTCTGCTATTACTGAGATTCATTACTTAGTGTTAGATGGCCGATTTTTGCATAACTTTGGATGGGTTGTAACAGATCAGTTACTCTGCGGTCATTTTCGAATTTACGCCGCTCTAAATTTTAATAGGAAACTAATGAGAATGACAGTAAAAGATAACTGCATCAATGGTACACATATATAGAAGATCCAAGATTAGAGATATATTTATTTATTTTTATCTTTGATTACAGCTTGATTCCATACTGTAATTTTGGTAGAAGTATGGAATTTTCAGCATGTGATATCGGTAGCCCAAATTTTGCAGGCCGACCATAGATATCAGGTGTGCGTCGGCAGGGGATCGAACCCCGGACCATGTGCATGGTTGCTGAGAGTCTTAACCACCGTGCCACCGAAGCACATATAATGAATAGGTAAGAGTTGTCTAATGTGGAAATCTACAACACTCAGTACGATTAATAAAATGCGAATGTTCAACGCCAATAAGAAGTCAGCGCTTCTAGATGGTTCATAGATTTGTCACATCAGGCAAGGCATTTCACCAACATCTGTCCCTTTCGATAGATACTGAAGGTTATATGGCCTGTTGGTCGGAGAGGATAAGGAATATGAAACCTGGCAGTGTAGCGAAATAACGAAGAATCTATCGCTTAACAAATATGTATGTGGAAGTGGAGATAGACTGGAAATACTTTGAGGAGACCTTCAAGTGGCACCACACTCTAGGCCGTCAAATGGAAACCAAAAAAGAATTTTTGAGTTGTAAATCTGCAGTTACCCTAGAGGAGATGATGTTAGGATGAAATGAAAGCTAGTAGGCAATATGGAATGCCAAGTCAGAGTAGACTCCAGGGAAGAGAAAGGGATGGCAGTATACTTTGAAGCCCAGTGTCCACGAAACAACAAATTGAGAGGTGATAAAAAGTAATTTGAACGTGAATAGTATACAAAAATTACCTACAAATAACGATTTTACGTCCTGTTGTTAATTTTAAAGAATTTAATATGTTTTTAAATATTAGCAGACGAGCCTAGAGACCAAACTTCTGAGCATTACCTTTACTTTTGTCAAGATGTTGTCTGCTTAGTGCTGCCTAATGCTGGATCTCTGAAAACCATAATTTTAACTGCCTTTTATCCTTGTGAGTGCTGTGACTGAAATGTTACTCATTCACCGTTTGAAATTCCATACTGTTTTCAATGAGTCACACCATTATGTGAGAGCTGGTGGTACTGCCTGACTGGTCAAACCTTAACAGAGGGGCTAGGATTTGAACTGGTGTCTCACTGGTTGAAAATAGAGGCTCCAAACCAATAAGTCAAGGCTCCATTTGAGTGATATTATCCTACTGAGACTCTAATCAAAAGGGATAGAAACAATAAACATCCGTGAATACTTGAATGTTAAGTCAGTAGAAAGTATTTCTGTGATCATATCCTTTATCTGACATGATGAATAGCGCAGATCCTCTTAGTACATAGTTTCAGAGCTATCCGCTAGCCAAAATTGTAAACAAAAAATTACCTTGATGTTTACGTACCGAATCGGGATCATGAGAAAAAACAATAACAAAGCTTAACCTTCTGGAATTCACTAACCAATCATAGAAGACTTAACGTGCGCAATTAGGATTCGCTGAAATATGGCTTAACTTTCTAAGAAACAGTAACAAGCAGTAAAGGATAATCTTCAGGAAGAAAACAAACAGTCAGACGACGTTGCTTCTCTGTTAACAATAATAAATAATAATAATTTACTTAAGAATGTATAAATATCTGTCGATTTTCTCAATAACGATCTATTGCCTGGCCTTTGTATTCTGTCGTATCGGTACTAGGTTAATAAAGGTGCAATAGATTTCATTTCCCAAAGCAGTTGAGGCTTTAGGAATCAATGCTTATACTACTGAACTTCACTTATAATTATCACAGAATCCAAGACATACACACACAACTCATTATCCCGTTAAAACTATGCATACATATTCTTAAGTAGACTGCGAAACGGGAAACTTCCAGACTGTGATATTTTAATTCAGTAACTTTGCATAAATTAAACTAATTTTAAAGTAGCTTATAACCACTGATCAACATGTAAACGGAGCTTCAGGATCGTAGTTCAATGTAGGTACTCAAAATCGGTAAACATAGACCATTTAGTCCAAAGCTGTGAATTTGATGGTGCTTTGAAATATAATCAAGAAAAGTAATTATTGTGTGTAGGATAATATTTCTGCATATTTTATACAAAAACAATAATCAAAGGTATAAAGATTGTTCTTTAATCAACAGGACGGCGTTTTCTGGAGTTCTAGTGAGAAGTCATGACCACTGAGGGCCATCCTGATGTCACATGTGAGGATGGATTTCCCGCCAGTGACACTGGTTGGTGGTCGCGCTAAATGCATCAGGAATCGTCAAAGTTGCGATTCATGCGTTGGCCATTGATTCGGGTCCCAGTGACCAAATGGTCTACGAGCTTGCTTCGTAACTCGAAGGTCCTGGGTTCTGATTCTTGTGGCGGATGCATACTGGCGATGGTTGTGCGTCAGTGGGACAGTGGTTAGGACTCTCGCCGACCATGCACATGGTTTGGGGTTCGAGCCCGCGCCGACGCACACCTGATATCCATGGTCGGCCGCGAAATTTGGGCTACCGATATCCATGCTGAAAATTCCATACTTGTACCAAAAATACGGTGTGGAATCGAGCTGTAATCAAAAATAAAAAAAAAAAATAAAAAAATGGTTCTCATAATAGGACAAAACAGCCGTCCGGGACTCCCTTTTCTTTAATGGTTTTCTAATTGATATCAATCCTTGGTCAAACTCGAAAAGATATATCAAATCCTTAGAAAACAAACTCTTGAAAACTATAAATTTACCAATGTTGTTCCACACAGCAATAATCCAAACTGTTTTGATATTTTCCAAAATTGATTTAATTTATCCAAATAACTAATTGGTTGAGATATTTTCGCCTTGGTTGGTTGTATCTTTAGTTGAGTAAAGATGGCTGTTCTTTCTTCTTGACTATGATTTGTTATTCTGTGTGGTTTAACAAATAATGATGTGAAGCCTAAACCGATAATTCCATACCATGTAGAATGACTATGTTTAAGGAATAATTTCGTTGAGTTGAAAATCAAACCAAATGATAACGGGATTCGGTAATTATGAATGGCAGTAGAAGGTAACATTGTCTCTGGTTGGGGAACATCAGTTCGGTTGAAGAAAAAAACAAAAGTATGAAAACCATGGAAATTGTTGCAGTAGTTTATATTACGTTATTATATAAGCATAAATTGTAAAAAATGGGGGCAGAGTCACTAATAGGTTCTACTGCACATATTGTTTAATGCATGAGTAGATAGTGTATAGACTTTTGTAATTAATTATTTGAGGATTCATATATATATATATATATATATATATATATATAAGTCGCGGTAACCGAAGCTGAATGTTCTACGATGTCGCTTTGTATATGGAAGGTCCTGGTCCCAACTCCGGTGGATGAGTACTGACGATGAGGCTCAAACTAGGACGAAACAGCTGTCCAAAATTCCTGGTTTCCAATAATTCTCTCAGTGATATCAATCCGTCATCAAATTTGACTAAAAAATCTGTTTTATTTTTCTAGTAGACTGTCTTAACGTGATATAAACCTTTATTTCAATGATAACTTCTATAATCTAGCATTAAACTGTCCAAATCATGACAATGCTTGAATGACATAGAAAATATTATCTTCAACGCACCATTTGCACGGATTTTCCGTGTTTTGCCACTTCTGGCCTTCATATTGTGTTTCTTTGTGTGCTGCCTTCACGTTTCCTATGCTTCCATGCAACGCCGTATCATTTGCTTTCTCCCCTATCAATTTATCTCCTTGCTACTTGATGTTTTTATGCCAATGAACGTCTCTTTATGTATGCATACTACTGATAAAACCTATCAGTAGCACACGACACAGGTGTTATCATTTCTCTCTTTTTTAAGTTTTGAGACAGTAGGCCCTTGTGCCTATTTGCACTCTTTAGACAATTTTTATCTCAGGAGTAATGCGTCTGATTTCAGCATTGAGTATTGTGGCTTCAAACGTCCGAGAGAATATAAATTATTTAGATTTAGCAGATTCACGTAACTTAGGAGCGTGAAACTTGAGTTAACCACAAATGTTGACCATAAAACACTGATTAAAAGTGAACTGGTATGATGACGTATGTATCTCAGAGACTATTTCACAAAAGTGACTAGTCAGATAGACATTTTGAGACTGTAGGAATCTGACTAATTCCAATTGATATATAACATCACGAACTGACAGCTGGCTAAATGAGGCTAAGAAGTGTGCGGACAGGTGAATATTTTATTATTGAACTACCAACGCATGAACAGCTAATTATTCCTGAGACAAGACAGAAAACACGATAAATGTCTATTTGTGATTTTCAAACTATCAAACTTCAAACCATCTGAAGTGCAATTTTATAACTTAGCTACAAACTCGACACTATAATTCACGTTGGTGAACTTCATTCCTGTGTTACGCATATTAAAAATACAAAAAAGAAAAACAAACCTGTATAAATATATTGTAAAATAATAATAATAAATAGACGCTTGGACAAGAAAATATTGATGTTCAGACTTAAATGACTTACTTTGATGGTCAGCAAAGTGAAAATAATCTTGACAATCGACACCATACCAATAGCCTTTTTCATAACGAACATTTTGTATTGTATCAGAGCATTGTAGTGTGGATGATTGATTTGGCTTAAACCAGTTGTCTACATTGGTTAGATTAACACCAGCAATAGCTATATTACTGCTACCAGTATCGACAAGTAGGTTTACCTACATAAATTAGAAAAAAAGGATGCACAAAAGAGATGTACTACTAAGTAGCCTGAAGTAGTGCCGCATCATTTATCGCAAGGAAATTCATCGTGATAAAGTTTCTGTAGTAACTTTATTTATAGGGTGGTGTTGCTAGCCTCACGCCTGAGAAGGGGGTTGTTCCGTTAAAATATAGTTTACAGAGGAGCGCCTTGTGGGTTGCTCCCTTTGAAATCAAGAAAACAAGGAATAAAGCAATAAGAAAAACACCAGCAAAAGGAAAATAATTCATAACAGGAAAAGCAGTGACACTAAAAATAAAAAAATAACTTTAGCAGTATTATCACAGTCAGATACAGTTAACAAAAATGGTACCGAAATCATAGACTCACTGACTTGAGCGAACTTAGACATGTAAATCCATCAATATATGTAGTTATAGATATTAGTAAGTGTTAGACATTCACAAAATGGCAAGCAGATAGTTATAGGTATTATCGGTCAACAAGGTAATATCCACAAATTCAGTGTTCGAAAGGCGTATAATTACAATAAGTTCCACAACGTTTTGGCAAGAAACTCCACATAAGTAAGAGTTTTATATAACTGAGTGAGTGTAGCGTCACAATCGAGAAGTCCGTCAAGGTCAATCAATCAGTCGACCTGGAGCCGGGTGAAAACTTCAGCAGAGAACCAAACTCAATGGAGACGTCCAGCTGAAGCCCTATATTCCTCTAGGAATTAAAGGAAATAATAATAACTGCCGCATCATGAATGAAAAGTTTCGAAAGAGTGATTAATGTACAAAGATAACATATATATTTATCAGTCATTATGACGAAATCTAGTAGCCGGTCCATTAATTCTTATTTCTGCCAATTCGCAATGTATGTAGAGTGACCACTAGCCAGTGTCATTAATGAGAATCTGTCACCGCACCCCACATTTTGGGCTTCATAGGGTTACGACTTCTTACTAGAATTTCAGTCAATTTCACTCTGTGGTCAGTCATAGTAGTGAGCATCAGGCTAATCTTTAAGTGTTAGTTTGCGGGAACTCGATTGATGTCATGCAATGATCACGAAAAGACTGCAGTTGGATAACCACTAAAAATCAGGGTGAATTAGGCTGTTTTATTCCGCCCCCCAGTGGTGGAATGGTCGACGGACTGGCATTTTCACTTGAAAGTTCAGTGTTCGACTATGAATTCGTACTTCTGAAGAGTTCAAAACAAGAAGTAAATGGCTTCTCACTAATCCTCATTAGTTACAGGGTTTTCATCATGAGCTGACATCAGTTAGAGAACCATTGAAAAACCTGGGAGTACTGGACAGCTGTTTCGTCCTACTTTGGGACTCTTCAGAAGAACTCACTAACAGCCATGGTTCGAACCTAGGACCTTCTAGTTACAAGGCGAGTTAGCTCGTAGATTATTGAGCCACTGGGACCCGATCCAAGGATTCCTGAATTCTAACTTCTGCCAATTCAAGATATATCGCGACCACTTCGCAATGTCTTTTTCGATGAGTTACTGCCTCATTTTCGATCTGCTGTACCCTACTGGTCACGACTTCTCACTATAACCTCAGGTAACTACCAACCTGAATAAGGCAAGTCTCTATTGAGCATCTCATTGATATTCAAGGGTTGGTTTGTAGGGATTTGATTGGTTACATTAGTCTTCAGTGGTTCTGTAACCGACTTCAGTTTATGACCAACCTTGAAATCGATGATATCCCTCCAAACTAGTACTTTAAAAATATATTATTATTTTATTCATTTGCGTTCCCAGTGGAGTATAAGGCTTCAAGCTAAAGCTTTGAATCTTTTGGTAGCAATGGTTTTATTTTTTACTCGGTGGGATTGCTAGTCTCAAACCCAACCTTCCCTCTTAGCCGAGCTTATTATCAAATGCGCGAGGTTTAGGAAACTGAAAGCAGTCGTTATGAAAGATAGTGAATCAAGCATATTTAGAAACTTTATGTGAACACAACATGAATGCGAAGAGAAAAAACATAAATAACCAATTCAATCACATAATGCAAATACTTCATGCTGGGAAGTCATTACTTTTAAAATTTCTTATCTTGTACCATCTGTTCTCTGGTATTAATAGTAAAAAGCATTTTATGGTTATTTAGGGGAAAGCAATAAATACCCTTTGGTGGTAATGCAGTTAGGATCACTTCTACAAATAAACTGATGATGAATGCATATGTGTGAAAGTGTGAAACCGGCTATTTTAATCAGTCTCAGACAGGTTACTGTCTATTTGTGTGTTCTTTTGAATTGTAAAGAGTTACAGCTGACTAGGAGTCTAACGGCTAATGCATCTGAGTGCTTTATCAGCCAAGATCCATCTATTTTACGTCACTTCACAATCCAAATAATTTTCGCCTTACTACCTATTAGGTGAAATTTCAAAATATTAACTTTATGGTATCGTAAATGTAATGCAAATCTAACCTCTCTCTACCTCAATTTCAACGACTTCGACTGACAGCGTTGATCGAGAAGTAATTTGCATACTACTTCAACACTTCTGGATGCAGTGCTTAAGTATTTATCAACCTCATTCAACAGATGGCTGTATGACAATGTCACGTGTCAAATGATCGATAACAGAAAACTCAAAGAGGCGTTCGAAGTGCATGTAGTGTAACAACAGAAGACAAGGGCCAGGCAACAGATCGTTTTATTATGAAAATCAACACGTATTTATACATACTTCACATACATTATTATAGCTTATGCAGGTAGACAAGCGCAGTCATCTGATTGGTTGTTTCGGGATTCCTCAACAAATAGAGTTCTCTATCTGCGAATCATATTTTGCCACGTTAACTTTGCTATGATTGGTTGTTGAATCAGCCTTGCTGATATTTTCTCACGGCCTGCTCTCACCACACTCGTCCCCCCGTCAAATACGTGCGACTGAAGTCGGCTTGATCTACTTGGTGTAGGCGTCATCGTTGGCTTGTCTCGCTGTATCCATTTCTGGAGCTCGCTGACGTTCACGCGCCTCTCATTGTTCGTCATTGCGATTGTGTCCGCGTAATCCCATCTCGAAGTGACCATATGTGGTCCTTCCCACTTTGGAAACTGTTTGCCTGACCCTGTCGAACATTCGTCAGTATTTCGTCTCACACTTTCATATGCTGCTTTCACCCGACCTCCCAGCAGCGTCCCAAGTAGCAGCTCCATCGCTGACAGATCTTGAACGCCACTCAACTGCGCAGAAGCCTTGAAGTCCTGCCCGAAGATCCATATGTCTCCATCAAAAACAGCAGGGCATAGGCTTTCCATTTGTTGGTAGGCAGCGACACCAAATGTAACAACAGAAGACAAGGGCCAGGCAACAGATCGTTTTATTATGAAAATCAACACGTATTTATACATACTTCACATACATTATTATAGCTTATGCAGGTAGACAAGCGCAGTCATCTGATTGGTTGTTTATCAGAAGTTAGGCAGACAAACGCAGGCTTCTGATTGGTTGTTTCGGGATTCCTCGACAAATAGAGTTCTCTATCTGCGAATCATATTTTGCCACGTTAACTTTGCTGTGATTGGTTGTTGAATCAGCCTTGCTCATATTTTCTCACGGCCTGTTCTCACCACAGTAGGAGTAAAACAGGGCTGAGTATTATCACCGATGATATCTTCATTTGTGGTGGACTGAGTGTTACGTCAGACTGTGTATTGGGAGTGAGAACACACGAATACGTTAAACCAATAAGAAGACTCTAGTTGTATAAAACTTGGGCACTGTGGCAGAGTATAACTCCATTGTGGATAAAATTTTATTTTGATAAAATCACACAGTGTTGTTATACAGTCATATTTTCTGAGAACCACATTTCGGGCACAATTTACTGCCACTCCTAATCATATCAAGTCACTACTCACACAACTTTCATGATTAATTTATATACATGAGTGAAAACTAATGAGTAGCCACTTAATTAACATCATTATAAGATAAAGTACATTCGGAAACACTATAATAAATGTTACGAATCAAATACACTCAGATGGAAAATAAGATGTTTTATAGTAAAATAAATAAACTACTTGATAGAATGTTATTATGTAAATTGAATACATTTAAACATTATTTATTATCCTTCTCTAATTTGACTCGTGGTAATAATATCTTCTATATCTCTGGTATTTGCATTGAGTAACTTTTATCGCATGTGTTTGGTGTAGACTCGATGAACCAGGCAGGATTCAGAAATCAATCTCTCTCTCTCTCGATTTACCTACCTATATCACTCAGTCCCACCTACCATATTATGTGGTTGTGTGTTAATGCATGTGGTGTGATTGCTGAGTTTATTCGAAATAACCTATCTCCGCAGGTGGGATAAATTATTCTAACCTTAGCTAAATTCTTATGTTCTGATAATCTGACTACCCCTATCTACTAGTTTGACTGACAGTAATTGCAAGGTATTTTGTAAATTATATTATTTTGTTCAGTTGTGTCCACCGACAGTGTCCTTTAGCCTACATAGCTTGTCCTACCTGAGTGAGTTTGTGGATTTGACTGCCAGTCTAATTCCTGCTTTATTGAGAATCCTACATGGAGAGGATCTCAGATGTCCCCTTCTCATATAGTAAAACTGCAGATGTCCAATATTCTCTCTTATTTATGTTATCATTATTAGTTTCACCATTATTTTTATTTTGCATTTGACCTTTTCTGATCTTCCTAATGAATTTTGTAAGATAATTATTTAACACCAACGCCTCTTCTATCTGTTTCATTTCATCATTTAGTTTTTTTGTTGTGCTAATTAGCGCTATGGCTCGGTTTGTTAGACACCACTTAACTAAGCCTGCCTTTAGAGATCATGATGGATGAGATGAATTAAAGTCTAAATATATATTAGAATACGTTAGCTTTTTATAAACGCTAGTGTGCAGTCTACCTTCCTCTGTTCGTTTTATTTTACAATGTAACATCGTGGCTAATTCTCCTTATTTATTTTCCGATGTGAATGTGAATTTTATTCCCATCTGATTGTATTTGATTGATAATACTAATATCATTTCCGAATGTACTTAATTTTATACTGATTTTATTCAAATGTTTAATCATCAGTTTTCACTCATGTATATAAATGAAGCAAGAAAGTTGTTTGAGTACCTTGATATGATTATGGTCGACAATAAATTGTGCTCGAAATGTGGTCATCTGTTAATATTACTATTACAACAAAATTTTATCCATAATGGGGTTATACTCTACCATAGTGCCCAAGTTTTAACCTCATATGAATAATAATGAATACCTTAAAATAAGACTCGTGTAGAATAAAAAAGTGAAATTAACTTTTCGATTCATTTCGAGTTCATACTCATATGATATTGGATACAAATCACTAAAGGAATTAATCTTCATCGTGTAATCACGTAACTAAAAAAAATCAAAGAATGAAACCCTAAGGGTTAGCTTCAATATTGGTGATATACATCAGTTGTTTAAAGTATGGTTTCTAGCCATGGAGTCTAGGATTCACATTTCGTCCTATGTATGAATCTTCTCCGGATTTACGTTCATTAATCACTGATTGAAAGTGTTATCCCTGAGACGCAAACCTTTTACCTTTTGTTTTAAACTGTAAAGCATTATCCACTGGACCATTAAAGCTACCTCTTGTGCGACAGATATTTTAAGTCAATTTTGATTTTCCTATTGGTCGATTGAACCGAAATTTTCGGCCTCTTCTGACATGACACCTCCTAGCACAGATACTTTGGTGATGTCTAAAGATTAACCAGTAGTGCAGTGGATGATGCTTTGGTGTTTTATACAAAGTGTTGAATTTGTTTCTCAGCAGGAACACCACCTCTTACTGGGGATTTCAGGTACATCAGTTGACGAATCACAAATAGGACGAAATTCGCATTCACAATTCCACTGCTAGTTACGATCCACCAAAATATTACTTCGTAGTAATCTTCAGACATCGTCGTAGAATCGGTGTGAGGAGTTCGAACATTTCGGTCCGACTAATCAGCGGGAAAATTAAAATTGATTTAAAACAAATGCGTAATGTAACATCATAACAAATATATATATGTCGATTAGTGAAAAGAACTCACCGTTTGTTCTGGAGTACCGGCATACAGTGTTATATAATAGCCTTGTCCAGGTTGTCCGGAAAGATTATAAATCAAATATGATTTTTTGACGTCTTCATTTAACGCATTCGTAGAAGAATACGTTACAACAATGTAGTAAACTCGAAAAATTACTATTAGCTGCAAAACAATCTTCATTCTACTAGTGAAATAAAACTTTTATTATTCATGATTTCTATAATCTCAACAAATGTGTCCAATAAATCGTTGAGAAATTATTCATGATAAGTGCATAAATGCACTTTGAGAAAGATAATAACCAATTATATTTATCTGTCTTCTGTGTAATATTACACTGCTCAGAATTATTGACAAATATTATATAAAATCGGTTAATTATCATTTAGAACTAAAGCTAAAGATGGAATTTTTCTGTCCATGTATCAGATTATGAATCAGACTGATTGTGTGTGTGTGTGTATCTGCGGGGTCTGACAGCACTAGGACGCAGTAGCTCTAGCTGAAATATGTATACAGAAGGATTTGAACCTCAGACCTACTAGAAAGAAGTTAAGTGCTATAGCTTTTGTGTCACTTACGCACACATATTGCTAGGCACAAATTTACATGTCGAATTCAGTAACTGCAGCCATTCAAGATGGATGACTGACATCATTATTGGGGAATAATTAGTGTGGTGTGGCTGCTTCGCGTGAATTCTGAGACATTTCGACTGTGTGCACCTATAATCCTATGAAGTATCACTATTTGTTCTGTATTAGACATTGATTGGTGGAAAAAGCCTTACTTCAAAGCATGAAAAACGATGCAAATTCCCTACTAGGTAGGTTTTTCTGATGGTGTGCATGGTAAAGGCGTGGTATTCTCAACTGTACGCATTTGTTCGAGCACAATATATTGCTCACAGTCATATCAATGTGTTCACACGACTTAATAATTTACTTTATTTAACCTCAGTTCCTGCTGTTTTCGATAGTTTTTTCCATATTTCCGAGAATAGTGTTGCATCGTTTCTGTCGCATGTATTCGGTGTTAATTTGGGGAACAAAGATTCGGTGAATAAACCCTCCCGCCACCTAACCATATTACTTTTTAATGATCTAATCCTATTCAGATTAAAAGATTTGTAGGAGTTTTGAATAAATTTCAAATTTTGGACTTTTGTCACGAATCAGTATCAGTTTGAGAGGGTATTGAAAACTAGGGAGCACCGGACAGCTTTTTCGTCCTAGTAAAGGCCTACTTATCATTAAGCACCTATGATCCCTCGAGAGATTCTACTGAAGAACCTACAGGTCACTGATGGCTACTGGATGCATTTTCTGAAGCCTCATTGGGATATCGTCACTAATGGGGTCCATCATGTGGAGGTTAAGGGGATGCCTATTGACGGCATTTTTGCTGACAGCGCCAAATCATGATTGCACAAAGTTAGAATACACGGGTCAGTGAATTCCAGCTCAGGTGGCTCAGTGAGCTATTTCCCGTAAACGCAAAGCTAAGGTTCGATCCCTGGTGGTATCGTGGGTGCACACTGCTGATAAGTCCGAAACTATCATGAAAAAGCACTCCAGTACCCGCTGGTTTTCAGTGATCTCCCTAACTGACGCTGATTTGCGAAGAAGATCCTACAATGAAAACTTTCACCCTATCGCAACCTATTGTGTGATTACATATAAGTGAATGAATGCATTGCAGTGACCAAGCTTTTCTCCATATGATTTCACTAAGAAAATAAGAAGTAATGAAATTGTATAAATGAATTGAGAAAGCTATGTGAGTGTCACTTCCCATTTGGATTCCGCTTAAGTAATAGCCTGCACCACGCGCAATGTCATTCAACGGTCTCCTCAATGTATGCCTGGTCCATCTCCTATATATCTGTTGAGCAGTCAGCGCTTGGTTGGTCTATTCCCAGACAAAGTTTCTTGTTGCTTATTCTTTCTGCTCATTTGATCTTCAGTATGGAGCGAAGGCAGGTGTTATTGAAAGTCTGGAACCTGTTGGAAATCCTTTCCGTGACACACAGTTCCCGTTTCTGACCTGTATAGAGGGACAGAGAGGACATGAGCGTTGAAAATCCAGATATCGTTGCTTATGCTGAGTGTAGAAGATTTTCAAACAGGTTTCAGATTGATGAAGGCGTGTCTTGTCTTTCCGATTCTAGATAGCTTTGAAATATTCATCCGTTCCGACTGCCTGTATTTGAGACGAAGCTTCCTAGATAAGTGAAGGAGGTGACCTCTGTAAAATCTCTCCCGTAGATGGTGACTGGTGCTAGTTGTTGTTTTAGTCCGCTGGTTATCCTCACCACCTCTGTCTTCTCTATGTTCACCTGGAGTCCTGTCTTCGCTGTCTGTTACTTCAGACAGTTTGTTTGTTTTCACTTGCAAGTCTTCGAGTTTCTGTGACATTAAATATATATATCATCTGCAAAATCCAGATCTTCTGGACTCTTCTTGTCAGTGGTTCAGCGTATTCCTGACTCCCCCCACCCAATAATCTGACGCTATATCACTGCTGTAATATATATGCTCATCTTCTTTTGAATTAACCTTTATTATTTGTCTTTATTTTTGATTGATCACTATACTCAGATATTTCATTTTTTTCATGTCTGATGAAGGACTGTTGACAATGATGTATCATTCCATTAATGCTGTTTTCTTTCAATGAATTCATAGTAACGTGATGGAGTGACTAATTGACCTTCCACTGTTCACATGAAAGTTCTAGTTTGTCCTAAGTGATTCATGCAGACAGAGTTTTTATCCCATTTAGCCAGGAATATCCTTCCTTATTCCCATAGAACTAAAAATTGTGTCTAGTTAATTAATTATTTTGTACCTGAGAAACATTTGGAGTGTATAACTGCCGTATGACACTTTCTAGCTAGTTCTGTATTTTTGATGTAGGTTACCACTGTTGACTAGTACGAGATATTCTGTCACATTAATTTGCATTTAGAGGTTGAAGGTGTTGACGTTCATGGATAGTTCAAGATCACATTCTAACAACTTCCATTGTATTTTATCCGCGTAGACTAAAGAGGAATCAAAACACCAAACTGATAGTCCAAAATACGAAGCAGCACTGGGTGACGCAGGTTCGAATCTCAGAAGGGACATGAGTTCCTTCAAGATTGCAGATACTCTTTGCTGACAAGTGCCAGCTAGCACGAAATCTAGGTCAAGCAAGGCTTCCTGTGGCCGATTGCCTCCAACTATCTAATATCATCAAATCAATGTATGCACCATGATGGCGAGCTACCTAGAATGGTAGCCACATTACAAACCTGACTGATAGAATTCATTCTGCCCCAAAGAAAGGAATAGACACGTCACAGTAGTTACTAGAGTCCAATCAAAATTACGGGAACACAATTGTAGTGCAAGAATGATTGATTACGTAGCTCGGAATCGTGAATGAACAAGTGAACGTAACACGACAGCGTGCCAAAGGGAGTGGTTGCTTGATCACTGGCTTTCAGCTAAACAAGTCGACTTAAACAGTGAAGGGTAGCATCCAGTGTTGAGTGATGAATGCTGTGGCTAATAATTCTGGGGAATTATCTGCCTCTAAAGCCATTTTTGACATTGTTGGAGCAAAGATTTTGGACTGTGCTGAACAAGAAGAAGTTTGCCAAGCTATACAGAAGAATGAATAGATTCATTTCCTGCATTCAGAGGAAAATACTTAGGTTCTGGTCATTACATGTTTCAGCACAAAGAAAACTTTAAGCCTACAGCATATCTAAAGTAACTACCGATTTCTTCTGAAAGCAGATGTTCAGTTTTGTGGTTAGAATCTTGTACTTTACACTGCTTACTGATGATTATATGAAATGTGCTGACATCATTACCACGCTTGTAGTTCCTTGAAACATTCTGATATACTTCGTTACAACTAATCACTATTATTCTGGCTACTTCGTTACTATGTTCAGTGATGAATTGGAAAACGCGAATGTCTTCTTTTTTAAGACTTTTCATCAGGATGTACATGCTTCCCCTAGTAAATGATGGCGTCTCTGTCTGGACCTGAACCGCAAATCCACCAGTTTAACGGATTTATGAAGGAACAGATGCAGATTTGGTCAATTCAACATGTGGTCAGTTACAAAGGCTACAAAAAATGCACACTCTCCAAGCACATCACAGTTAGACTGGGCTATCTAAGCGACATTGGAGAGTGTGCAAAATCTTCTACAAACTACGCCTGAACGATACATTAGATAATGGGTTACAACACTTGTATTTTCGGGAGAGGGCTCAACAAATCCCACATTTCAAGTCTGAATTCAGTGTGCAGAAAAACGTTCGTCCGATTTCACATTCTTTGAATAACCCTAGGCTCTTTTCTTACAGTTTGGGCTCCATTTTTAGTAGGCAGTTTACCATTTTGTTTATCAGCTTATTCCCCTGATACATCTTATTTTCCTTTTCTTTACCGTCCTCACACTTCTCAAGTGGATACTTGACCAACCGGCTTGTCGGTTAATGCCAATTTTTCTATTGCTAAATTTAAGGCTCCTAGTTTCAGTGTTTTGATGAAATTTTCAAGCGATTTGTGTACCTGTGGAGTACGTAACAATATGATTGTACAGGTGTTTGTTAGATGCTGAAATTAGAGACATTGTACAGGACTTTTGTTTAAAACGATTCAGGTTGGAATATAGATAACCTTCAAGTACAGTCTAAAATACAGTTTACTGTCGGTCGCTTCATCTTCTCCCTGGACTGTACTATCTACTTGCTTCACTCATAACCGTGTTTTATACTTTGGATTTTTGCAAGAACCTCTTATCCTCATCTGAGGACAATTCTACAACTGGCTCACCGCTTCTAATACTAGACACAACTCCAGCAGTGAACTATTCTATATATTATATTATTAATTTGTAGCCGTAGACTTTAACTGTATATCGAAGTAACCGCTTAATTAAAATAACTCATTACTGTATTTTTTATAATATACTGTTACACTGTGACAACAGAAGGAAAGATTCAGGGAACAGATCGTCTATTAAGGAAATCAACACATATTTATATATTTTTATGTACATTATTATAGATTATTGTTAGCAGAAAAACACATTCCTCTGATTGGTTGTTTCTCACTGAAAGTTAACCTTGCATCTCTTTGTGGCTGTTTTTTGAATGGCAGATCCTCCATGCCAGAGAAATACGTTTTTAACTATCCTAATTTAACTTTGTCGGATATTCAAATGCAAATCCTATCTCTGGGTCTGAAGTTCTCTACTGTTTCGTCCAGAGTCAACGAATTAGACACAAAAGTTCAGTTTGAAAATCTCATGAATCAAACACATGACTTGAGTCCAATGTCTAGCGAAGATGTTGAACAATTCAAATCTTCATTACTTCATTGTTATTACCAGTACCAAAGAACGCAAGGCAGACAACGACAAATGTTATCAAAAGAACACAAAAGACAACTAAATGAATTGCTTAACAACAAAAACATAATACTGATTCGTCCAGACAAGGGATCAGGTATTGTTATTCTTAATCGTGATGATTATGTCAATAAATTATGTACCATCCTGAGTGATGAAGAAAAATTTCTAAAATCACCTGATCAAAAGGACAAGACAGATAATATTGAGAAGGAATTATCTAAAACTTTGACGAAATTGAAGCAAGAATGCATCATTACTCCATATATGTATGAACAGCTTAAACCATCTGGTTCAACTATCCCTCGTTTATATGGTCTCCCAAAGGTGCACAAAGATGATGTCCCTCTGCGACCTGTATTGGATATGCTGAATTCGCCGTATCACTCTACCGCTAAATGGCTTGCGGAAATTCTGGAACCAGTTAGATTGAATCTATGTAAACATAGTCTTTCCGACACTTTTGACTTCGTCAGTTGTGTTGATGAAATTAATGTGACTGGTAAGCATATGATTTCGTTAGATATTTGTTCATTGTTCACAAATGTACCACTAGTAGACACTATCTGCTATCTATGCGAGTATATTGAATCAAATAGCATGAACATTGGCTTACCAACTGATTATCTTAAACAACTACTATTGAGATGCACACTGAATGTGCAATTTAGATTTAATGATGTCATCTACAACCAAAGGGATGGAGTCGCCATGGGGTCTCCTTTAGGACCGCTCTTAGCGGACGTTTTCATGGCAAGCTTAGAGAATGGCCCACTAAAGGAAACCATCGATAGTCTGTTTATGTATAAAAGATATGTTGATGATACCTTCATTGTATGTGATGAAAACACTTCAACTGCCGAACTTCTTAGAATATTTAATGGTTCTCACCCATCTTTGCTTTTCACGATCGAAGAAGAGTCGGATTCTTCGTTTCACTTTCTTGATGTTAAGCTAGATAGAAGAGAGAATGGAACGCTTCTAAGGTCGATTTACCGAAAGCCAACATTCACTGGGCAGTACACTAACTTCAACAGTTGGGTACCTTTAGGGAGAAAGAGAAATCTTATTCACTCCTTATGCTCCAGAATTCGTAAAATCTGCTCTCCAGAGACAATCGATAGGGAACTAGATAACCTTCGATCAAATCTCCTTAATAATGGTTATCCCACAAGGTTCATTGAACGTAACATCAAGAAAGAATCCACCCCGAGACAAGTCACAGTACCAAAGAAAAAGCTGTTTATGAGTCTTGCATTCAAAGGTGACACCATTTCAGAATTGATTAAAAATCGTTTATCTAAATGTATTAAACGCACTTTTCCTGCAGCTGACCTGCAACTAGTTTTTACCAGCCGAAATATGATCAGACAATGCGTCAAGGATAGATTACCGCTTTTGTCCACATCTATGTGCATTTACTCTTTTACTTGCTCTTGTGGAGCTGTTTATATTGGACGTTGTAAGCGTAATCTCCGAAAACGTGTAGCTGAACACTATCCGGTTTGGTTAATGAAAGGCGAACGTAGAACTGCAAAGTCGTCTATTTGTGATCACCTGTTAGAGTCTGGTCATTTAGCCCCACGTGATTCATCTTTCAAAGTTATATACATGGCAAAATCCAATCGATCCAAAAGTTTACGTTTTCTTCACTTATGCATAGCCGAAGCTTTAGCTATACATGAACAGAAACCTAAATTATGTGTTCAAAAGCGTTTTGTCAAACCCCTTTCTTTACCTTGGTCATAATAATTTTCTTTCTAGTTTTTATTTTATTTTACCACTTGAATTCTTTCCACTTCACTTCACATCTTCATTCTTATCGTAATCGTACTCCTAATTTTCATAATTTTTAGACAACACTTGACATTTTTGTTATAGAACAATCTTTAATATTTTTGTAATTTATCCACTTCAACTCTACCCCTTATAACTTTTATCACATATATACGTACATTGACTGAGCAATTATTTAGTGCCACTTAATAACCTTTTTCTGTAATATAAATACGACTGTACAGCTTGAAAATGAAGTCGTTGAAAAGAAATTTCTTCGCTGAACAAAAAAACTGTGTTCTTACTCAAATAGAAGCCAATGAACGTGACATCATAAAAATGTCGTTGTATTGCTAATTTAAAGTAGGTAGGTCATCACACGCATTGCAACATTCATAGGTGTTGAACTATACCTTATCTTCATTTGACTACGTGCTAACTAAGAGAACATAAAAAATGAAACAACGTAAGAGCTGCTATATAACCAACACTCTTCATAATAATTTCGTTTTATGTCTATGTTAAATTCCTAAGGAATGAATACTTTTTATGAATTCTGTGGGTGAAATTTAACATTCATTTAGCTGCAGAGAGGAGATCCATGGAGTTGGTTCTATTTGTATTTTAAGTAGACATAAACTAATAGAAAATATAGTTCGGAGGAATTAGTTTGCATGACAATATTACTCATGTTTTAAATTAGTAGTGATTCTCAGTTAGTGACATATTTTGATAATTGATCTAACAATTAATTCAGAGCTGTATCCGATGGAACAAAGTTGTGTTAGATCACGAACAGCATAAGCTGCGTCGTTTATCTACAAAGCAAAAAATAGGTCAATTTTATTAGTAAATAAGTAAGGGAAACAGTTTACAGTAATCGGAGAACATAACACAGAAATCCGTAACATGAATTCAAATTTTTATGCGGGAGTTTTAGCATATACTCATTTATTCAGTTTGGATATTTACACAGTTGAGCTGTTATCGTCATTTAGGTGGTGTCAGCACAGGAGGTAGAAAACAATGGGGGATTATAATTTTTCTCAAGTCATTGGTAATAATATGAAGGTCAGGGAAGCGAAGAATGAAATAATCAACTGGCTGGATTACTTCTGTGCATCAGTCGTTCAATGGCGGGATGCACTCGAATCACGCATGTGCTCCGGGGTTCGATTCCCGGCTGACGCACTCCTAAAACTCATTTAACTGGTAACAAGACAAAATGAGATTAAAGGCTGTGTGTAAGCCTAGCAACCCTCTTTCCAAGTTAAAGCAACACCACTGTTAATGAAACTGCAAACCTCAGATGTGAAGCCTTATTTCCCCCTCGGGACACAAACAGTTGAAAAAAAGAACTGCTTGTAAATTTGTTGTTTAAGCATTTGCCTGGAATTACAACGAAATGTCCCCAGTTAAACTATTTACCTAAACTATTCGCCTTCGCTCTATGCTGAAGATCAAATGACCAGAAAGAATTAGCGACAAGAGACTCTGGCAGCAAACCAACCAAGAGCACATAATTCAACAAATATGTAGGAGAAAATGCAGATGGATTGGGCATACATTGAGGATACCGTCAAATGAAATCACGCGCCAGGATAACGCTGGAGTGGAATTTCAATGAGAAACGAAGAGTGGCTCTTCCGAAGGTGACATGGAGATATCGCGCGAAGAGGAGATGAGAATTTATAGGCAATCACGGACCCAGCTGAAGAGGACAGCATCAAATAGAATGAAGTAGAGATGTGTTGTTGAAGCTCTATATTCCACTGGGAACCCAAGGAAGTAATAATAATATAACATGATACTATCGGAATATGTCTCTATTTCAAAGGATTCTGAATAGGTTTCATAATCAGGTGAATAGTCATCAACCTAATGGCAGCAAAGTATATTGGTCTTTATGAGGTATTGTAATCCTGTTCAATATGTGTATTCACACCATACACAAACGTCTGTACAGTGCTCCTTGCAACGTGATTAGCATGACTCCACTTCATTATTGTTAAAGAGGGATATTTGTAAAGTTACCATATCAATTTGAATGTATCATAAATTAAGACAGCGAATATATTACAGTGTTCCATCGTACACTGTTGAGGCTCTAAGTTTCACTCAGAAAATAAAGAACTAATACCAATTAATAAATAACTTAAAGACGTATGCATTCGTAGGCCATAGTATAGAGAGGTTTTATTCCTCGTCAGTGTGATCTACATTTTATTTAAATAGTTTGCTGCCTTTCAAATACTAACTTAATAACTTTTTAAAGGAAAGTAGCTATTTCGGTAAAGAAAGGAAGACGAAATTTACAGTATAAATTGATATCATTCTTTTTCACAGGTTCTCATCAGCTACAGACCAGCTGAAAATACAATGGTTACATAGATGGTAAGAACATACTTTGAAGTTTAAATGATAGTAGAGAAGAAATACTATAAAACTGACACATCCAAATGTTAGCATTACAATTTTTTAGTTTAAGTTTTCATAATCAATTTATACGCTTTTAAAGTTGAAAAGATGAGGGGGTGGTAAGACAGAAAAGAGAAAAAATTAACAAAACAGTGTCAGCTTGTAGTTCACATGGCAATTCAAAAACAAAAGCGCTTGCAGTCTATACGATTAAGATTTCTTCAGTGATTTGAGATCACTGAATCAGATGACTAATTAATGTAATCAAAATCAAAATTCACTTATCAAGGAAGTCAGCGGTTAATCATACTCTTTTTTCTGTATGCATAAGTCTGGTTTAAATCGTTTGATTGTGAACACTTCGGTAAATCGTATTAATAATATCCTGTTCTTTGTCTATTAATATTTTGAAGGACTTAGAGATCTCTACGAGATGTCCAGTATCAATAATATGTCTGGTAATTACACTCTGAGAATGTTTGCTTCCTCTCAGGCACACCTTTCTTCATATATATATATATATATATATATATATATATATATAACTAGAAGATTGGAGTAGTGAGATTATCAGTACACAAGAATTGAGCTAAGCTTAGAGTGACTGACCCCACCCGTGAAGATAAGTGATTTCGACAAAAAACTCATCAATCTTACTGTATGCATTAACACACGATTATACAGTAGGGCGGAAGAGAGTCAACGTTTTAAAGAGTAATATAGGCAAATGGAGAGAGAGACTGATTACTGAATGCTGGGTCGAGTCTACACCCAACAGACGCAACAGAAATGACTCAACGCAAATACCAGAGATATGAAAGATATTATTACCACCACTCAAATCAGAGGAGGATAATAAATAATGTCAAAATGCATTCTATTCACATTCTAACATTCTAACAAGTAGTTTATTTACGTTACTATAATAACATCTTATTTACCATCTGATTGTATTTTATTGATAGCACTAATACTAATACTGTTTCTGAATGTACTTTGTCTTATATTGATTTCAATCAAATGTTTAATCAGTTTTTACTCATATATATATATATATATATATAATATATATATATATATATATATATATGAGTCAGTATATAAACTATGCAAGTAGCATATAAGCCACACAGAACTTAACTTACCTGATTTACACTGAGACACTCGTGGAAAAATGCCTTGCTAACTTCATGCTGACACAAGCGGATTTCATTCACCTCAGGAGGTATACGATAAGGTTCTTGTATTTTCACATAGTCAGATATAACTTCCGTTGTCTTTCTTACCAGGTCTCTTAGCTTTTGAAAGGAATAAGTGTTGAAGGCAATATATATAAAATATACATATAAATATCACTGAATTGAAAACCCAGCTGATAATCAGGTAACTACTCACACACAATAAGCTAAACCAGCTCTTCATTTTCACTACTGTTCTTCATGAAATGATGCTGCAAAGGAGAAACCGCTGAATTAATCAATGCCAAGTACTAGTCACTAACCTATTCAGTGTCAGTAGATTAGTCTGAGTTGGGATATCTATTCAACCACAAGGGAATCCTGATATTTCCCTGTGATGCCTCTTACAGTTTGTCAGGGTACTGAATTCCTTTTAAGTCTTATTTCAACGTTTCGGAATCCCTTCTCCGTTTGGTTCTTTGCATTAAGTCTCTTGAGTGTAGTTTGATGAGATATTCGGTGTTTTCTTTTATTTCTTTACGTTCCCAATGGAACATAGGGCTTCCAGCTGGAGGTTTCAAAGTTTTGATAACAATGTTTACTTTTACAGGATGGGGTTGATTGTCTCATACCCAATCTTGCTTCTTCTTCAGCCCTGTTATTAGCTTAGCGAGGTTTAGGAGTGCGTTGGCCAGGGATCGAACCACAAACGCTCTGCGTGGTTGGTGAGTGCTCTACCGCTGTGCCAGAGACGCAAATAGATATTCAGTAGACATTATTTTTTAGTTCATAGGCTTGTCTTAAGTTTAATGCATAGAGTTTGAAGTGTCCTCCTAAACGCCATTTTAATACTTAAAATGAATAGCCCTGAGAAGCGATGCAGTCTGTCTATCCATGATTCTTATTATGAAGATAGAAATTCTATTCCATTCACCAAAAAAGTATCAAGTATGGAGGAATAACGAACAGATAGTTGTCTACGAGAACTGTTAAATATATGACTAAATGTCTGTATTTAAGAAGTTTAGCATCATTTAACAGCATCACAAAAGCTCGCCATCTGGTTGACACAAGAAACTAGACCAATACAGAAGAATATTTCAAAGTGGTGAATAGACGATGCACTTCATGACTACTTCAAATTACTGAAGATGTGACCAATCGGAGAGTGGAACGTGAACTGTATTTACAACTGTTACTAACTTAGTAAGCAATAACTCATCCAGATTTCACTTCATTACTATAACTGTATAACTGTATTCATCTATTTTCACACTAATTTTATTAATATCCTTGTTAACTATTTAACCTCTTTCATTTTAGTCAATAACGTTTCACATGATTACATAACCATCTCCATTTATTTGTGAATCACCCTTAAATTCTGGCACACTGTTCGCATTCCTGTATATATATATATATATATAATATATATATATATTAGATGGTTGGAGGCCATCGGCCACAGGAAGCCTTGCTTGACCTAGGTTTCGTGCTAGTCGGCACTCACCAGTCAGCAAGGCGTATCTGCAACCTCGAAGGAACTCATATCCCTTCTGAGATCCGAACCCGCGTCACCCAGTGCCGCCTGCAGTCACAGATGTTACCACTGAGCTATTCAGGCTCGCGATTGACCTCCTGTATGACTGTAGTGGGTATTTTGATTGGACATTAGTAACTAGTGAAATGTGTCTAGTCCTATCTTCGGTGCAGACTGAATTCTATCAGTCAAGCTTGAAATGTGGCCACCATGCTAGGTGACTCGCCATTACGGTGCACTGTAAACTGTTGATATTAGGTGGTTGAAGGCAATCGGCAGGAAGCCTTGGACCTTATAGTTTATATTTTGATCAAACTGATTATTTTAACCTGCTGTACAGTTTGTATGTTGTCTTCATTTTCAGCATGTTATTCTAGTCTTGTAAAAAGAGCTAGCTATTCATTTAGTTATTATTCTCTTGGAACATAGGGCTTCGAAAGCACGCCTCTGATTTGTTCTATTTTATTCTGTCCTTTTCAGCTGGGTCCATGATTGTCCGAAGACTCTCATCTCCTCAATGTTCAGCTATTCAGTTAAAGTATGTTTACATTTTGGGAACATCATCACTCACTGAGGAATGCAGGTACATCCAGTTGACGAGTCCATAGTAGGACGAAGTGCGTATCCTGGATTCCCCTGTGAGTCACCATCCACCAATTAACTTCATTGTGTACATAGTTTATTATTCAGGTTGTATTTTGTTTCCTTCACATTCCAAGTGGAACATAGGGCTTCAGGCTAAGAGGCTTGGAGTTTCTGTAGCGGTGTTTATTTTTACAGGATGGATTTGCTGGGCTCATGCCTAACCTTCCCTCTTTACCAGCACTACTGCTGGCTTAGCGAGGTAAAGAGTGCGTCGGCAGGGGATCGAACCCCAGACCATGTGCATGGTCGGTGAGCGTGCTAACCGCTATGCAACCGACGCACTTGTAGCAGAGCGTGGTTTATATGCAGGTAATGAAAGGCATATGAAATAAAATGAATTCAGATGTTTGTTTACAGAGATTTAATTGATTTCAGGATTGATCATGAAATGTATTCAGTTACAGAACTATTGGAAAACCAGAAAATCCCGGACAGCTACTTAGTCTTTAGCCGAAGTCACTTCATAATCAAACTAGAAATCAGTGGAATTCTTGCTAATTTAACACTTCAGAAATGGTTAAGCTGAAACACAAGAGCCTAATCGAAAGAACATAAACTGATAGCAATCCCCAGCCAATTCATCAGCAAGCATCTATCCACATACCTAACGTAGTGGACCCAGCTAGTCATGACTTGCGACTAAAACTTCGGCTGACTTTATCCTGTGGTCAACTGCCAGTTAATGAGTGAATTCATTTTATCCTGCAAAGTTGTTCTTATTATTGTCATGCAAACGTTCATGAATACTGAAAAAGATCTAAGTTTTCAACACCTTATGAACTGCACAGCCTAATGTGAAATTACGCTCAACTCGAGAATTTCGACTGTTATATACTCAATTCTAAAATAATAAACAGTAGTTAACAGTTCTGCTTCAGAATGCTTGAGTAAGAATGATCTGGAATAATATTATTAATATTTTTTTGTGATTGATGTGAAGTGTGATGTTGCGTGTTATGTAAGTCATCTAAAGACCAGAAAAACCTGTAACTAGAATTACAGACTTGTGGATGTATAATCCTAATTTCCTATCTTAAACACGTCACGACGTATTCTTCTGCTGCTGGCCATTTATTCCTGTTATAGCGACTATAAAAATTAGAATTCGGGAAGGACCGATATTGTGCACACTACTGACACCTTATTTATTTGATAAACAACATCTACTTAGCAGGATAATGTGAGAAACATACCCTTACTGATTCAACCAAATCGGCTTCATGGAAAAAGTAGAATTGACTATTCAGACTTACTACATGAAAGGAGGTCACTAAAGAATTAGATATTGATTGACATACATTCCTCTCTTGATCACCTTTCAAGTAAGTTTATGCGTTAGTTAGTAGGATTCGGTTGGTTACAGGGTTTCATCATGAACTGACATTGGTTAGAGAATCATTGGAAAATCTGAGAGTACTGGACAGCTGTTTCGTCCTAGCTTGGGACTCTTCACAGTACGCACCTACAACCACGGTTCGAACCCAGGACTTTTTGGTTACAAGGCTAGCTCGTATACCATTAGGCCACTGGGACTCGATGCAATGGCCTACGTAAGGTGCTTATAAAGACAAATATATACGAACAGCTGAAGAAGTCACAGTCCTAAATTTGTATTTGTTCTTTTAGCTCATTTTAAGGAATCAGTCTTTGATGTATACACTATGGAATTAGGCAAGAAGAAAAAAGTAGTAGTAGTAGTAGTAATGTTCCCAGTTTTTACCTGGAAGTCGATTCTTCAGCACTTTTGTGTTAATACCTTTGAAGAATTACTTATTCATGAATAACTTTCCTCCTTTTGGCCGCCAGTCGATTTATTTCAAAGAATCACTTTCCTCATATGCAAATTACTTAAAGCTCGAGGTGAAAAATCATCGAAACTTCTTTTTGAAATATTTGATGTCCTTGATAACACAAATAACGATAGAAAAAAACCAAAATAAGGGAATATCAATCTTAACTTTAGTAGTTTCCAACAACTTATATGAAATGGTGGTATATATCGTTATGCAGATGTATTCTGAACTCTAGCAACACAAACCAATCAACAACCTGTTACTCACCAAAGATATGGAAGGAATGAAGATGGATTGAACATGCGCTGTGAATAACTTAAAATGAAATCACAAGTTGATCAAACCTTTCGAGGAGAATCCTAATGGGAAGCGAAGAGTTCGGTGGTTATCTGAGGGTGACGTGAAAATTTAGAAGAGGTCGCTCCTTTTATTCATTTAGACAGTATCGTTTCAATTACAGGTAGCTGGTACGAATAGGGATTTCAAAACTACCCAGGATCAGTAATGCAAGGGACAGCTTCATTACTGTGAAATCAGTTTGAAAATCTACCAAATTCAGCATAACGAATAAGGTTCGGATTTTCAACACTAACGTCATATTAGTTATTAGTTATATTAGAACAAGATTTTCAGGATAAATACTGAGCAATTCACTTTGAAATATCTCTTCCCTTACAGCCAATCTAAGTTATTCATAGGATTAATAAAGTAAGAGAATACCATTTTCTTTGTTATGCTCAGTGAAACTAACCATGGAGGATAATGTAATTATTATCAATAAACCACAAAAACAAACTAAATATTTATAATAAGTATGAAACAAGATTCAAGAAGGACTTTATTAAATGATGTGTACACTGCTGGACAAATAAGAAAATTTCTGTTCTTACTTCATTGAACTTATCTGCAGTTTAGGCTATATGAAACTGGATGGAAGCCACGAAGTAGGAAGCGCGTATTTCATGCTGAAAAGCTGTTGCTTTAACTCAAATCAAGTACCATCGTAACTATCATAATCCCTATGTATAACTTTTACCTCTCTAAAAAATCAGAAACTAATTGAGATAACTAAAAATAGGAAAAGAAACTAGAAAAGACATATACAGTCAATAAGCGCTACATCAACCTGACAATAAGAGGTCAATTCAGTATTCCCATCATGTCTCTTGATGTACTATCAGTCAAACTTAAGTCAGTTCAGGACAGTTCGTGCAGACAAAGAATAACTAAAACAGCGTTAAAAAGTGATACATTCAATGCGACAGTGGTCTAGTGGTAGAATACTCTCCTCTCAGTCAAGAAGCAACCTCCTTTACCTACCTGGGAAGCATCGTTTCAACTACAGGCGGACGAAGCTGATGAGGATATAAAAGCAGCGAAGATCGGGAAAGCAAGACAAGCATTCACTACTCTCAAGTCTGTGTGGAGGTCGGCAGCACTCAGCATGAAAAATAAGATTCATATTTTAAACTCCAATGTGAAGTCAGTGCTACTATATGGAAAAACGATTTGACACCGTGTGATGAAGGCCACTTCGATTAAACTACAGACCTTCATCAACAGCTGTCTTCGCTCAATACTCAGTATCAGATGGCCGGCCAGAGAAGATCAGAAACAGGGATCTCTGGTGATGAGCGAACCAACCAGAAACCGATTGTACAACAAATAGGGAGGAAGAAATGGAGATGGATTGGCCATACTCTGAGGAAACCATCAAGTGTCATCACACGCCAGGCCATCTCTCGAGTGGAACCCGACTGAATGGGAAGCGGCGAGTCGGTCGTCAGTTTGGGGATGAAATGGAGGAGGTCATTGAAGAGGAGTTGGATGCATGTGTGGAGACCTGGAGCCAGGTGAAAACTCTAGCAGAGAACCAAATGCGATGGAACTTGTGGCTGAGCCCTATGTTCCTCTAGGAATTAAAGGAAACAATAATAAATAATAATAATAATGATAGTTATGTGGTCAGTTTTCGACTACCAGCCGATGCACCATAAAATTCACCTAAGGGGTGGGAAGGTTAGATGTGAGATAGAGACAACCTCACTCTGTAGAAACAAGCACAACCACTACTGAGATTCCACAGCTCAAAGCTTGAAGCCTTATATTCCACTCGGAGAGGAAAGAAATGAAAGGCGACACTAAAAGAGGACGCTGAAACACTAGAAACAAACCTGTTTATTCATCTAGTAGAGTCGAAGTTAAACTTTCAGCACTGCAAAGTACCAAAGTAGTGCAACCACACCAACAACCTTGCAGGGCTAAGTGAGTAAGTTAGTGAAACCAGGTAAATAACTGAGTTAAATGCTACGATATTAAGTGGCGTATCAGGTAAGTTTTAGGTAACGATAAGATAAAGCTAAGGTGGAGGCTAAGGACAAGTTAGGGTTAAGTTAACCTAATATGGGAGATATTAGGGTTGATTCCATTTAGATTAGAGTTCAGGGATAGTTCCGTGTTAAGGTTATGTTAAGGATAGATTAGGTTTGGCTTTTGAAGACCTAGACGAATACAGGTATAGAATGTGATTTAATTACTCTACTGACACTCCAATCCACAACCCATAGGCAGCTATGTCACAAATCAAAGTAGGATATCCTGTGACAGTTTTTAATGCCTTTCTATTCACTATTTTCGTAAATATACATATTTCAGACGTAAAAATATTCCCTTTCATATGATTGGTGCATTCAAGGTCATTTGTCTGTCTCCTCATTTTGGTACGTAGAGTGGGTTCACAATATAGATTTAAATTGTCTATAACTTCAACAGATTATTCTACAGTAAAACAAAACTGAAGTACTACAGTCACTATTAGGTACCTTCTGAATGACCTTGAACAGCCAGTCACTGTAAAGTGATGTTAAGACTAGTATATTTCCTAATAGACTGTATCCCCATACATATAGACAGCCCTATTTCTCTTTAAGGGTGAGTCGGTGGTATAGAGGTTAGGACACTCTCCGACCATGCACCTGACCAGGGGTTCGATCCCCGACCGACTCACTCCTTTACCTCGCTGAGCCAGAAATAATGCTGGTAAAGAGGAAAAGTTGGGCGTGAAGATAACAACCCCATCCTGTAAAATAAACACTCATACAGAAACTTCAATCCTTGAGTCTGAAGCCCTATGTTCCACTTGGAACGTGAAGGAAAAAAAATTTCCCCTGAGTACAGCACTTACGTTTCTTAGTTAAGCATAATAGCTAAATAGAAATAGGTAATCAAATGAAGAGGAAATTATGAATGCAATCTGCCTATGGTAAATAATGTGGCTGGTTGCTTCAAGGTGATTTCGAAGGTTATTGGATCGAGTTTTGGGTGGTAGCTGGTTATAATTTCATTTCACCTACGGTAAAAGATTCATTTTTTTTCAAGTTTTGGTTTGTAGGGATTTGATTGGTTACAGGATTTCATCATGAGCTGACATCAGTTAGAGAACAATTGGAAAACCTGGAAGTACTAGGCAGCTGTTTCGTCCTAGTTTGGGACTCTCCTTCATTACGCATCCATCGGGATTCGAACCCAGGACCTTCTGCTTACAAGGCTAGTGAGCTCGTAGACCATTAAGCCACTGGAAGCCAATTGAATGGCCAGTCCATGAATTCTAACTTCTGCCAGTTCAGGACATAGCGCAACCACTAGCCAATTTATTCGGCGAGTATTTGTCCTCACACCAGACCTGCTGCACTTTAGTGGTCACGACTTCTCTCTAGAACCCCAGGTGACTACCTATCTGAATAGGGCCGGTCGCCAGTACTCCCAGGTTTTCCAATGGTTCTCTAACTAATTTCAGCTGCTAATGAAATTCATTTTTTTACTTACCTCAACTATTCTCTTTAAAAGTTTGTAGTTTAAAATTCGTTGTTCATCTGAATTTTGAGTTTCCATCCGATGTATTGCAGAGAATAACTGAACTTCAGAAGCTGGCATTTCATCCTTCACCTGCAAAACAAGAAATATGGAGTTTATTTGTATGCTACTAAAAAGAATAATTAGTGGTGTTTATCAATAAGATTCATTCGGTTGTCAAATAATACCTGAGTGTAATTATTATCTAGACAAAGCAATGAAAAGACATCATTTGTCTGATATTACTCTATCTACTCATCAGAAAGAAGCTTTATCCCTTGGACTTAAATTTTGTTGTTTCTTTGCACGCAATTTACGGATTTAGCCATCCATTCTGAGTTTGAAAACTTGTATGACCAACTGAAACATCTTGCTTCAACATCCGATGAAAATCGGGGTTGGTTTAAAGCCATGATGGTGGATATACCTCACCAGTTTTTAAAAACAACTCAAAGGACAAAAGTATTTTAAATTCCCAGCATTTCAAAGCCTTGAAAGAGCTACGGGAAAATTCTAATATAATTATTACTAAACCTGATAAAGGTTCTGGAGTCGTCATTATGAATAAAAGTGACTACAAATCTAAAATGATGTCTATTCTTGATGATAAGAGCAAATTTAGTCGTGAACCTCCTCAGAAGATATTCAGTTGTTGCAAGGCACAGTGCCAGCTAATCTACTGAAGCTTCATGGCCTAAATGCTATTGGTAAAGATAAATTTGATTCTCTCAAACCATCAAATGTAAATTCCTGCATATATATGGTTTGCCAAAAATACATAAACCCAATAATCCTCTACATCCTATATTGTCAGTGTGCAGATCCCCAACACATAAACTTGCTAAATGGTTAGTCGAATTATTGCACCCATTGCAGACAAAATCACAATTCTGTGAGTATGTACTAAAAGATACATTTGAATTTATTGATTGTCTTGATTCTATTGATATTATGAATAAAAATATGTATTCTTTTTATGTAAACTCTTTATTTACTAATGTGCCTTTGTTTAGAACAGTTGACATTTTGTGTGATTACATTTCCACACATAAATTTTTTATCCCGTTCCCTATATCTTATTTAAGGAATTTATTACTTCTGTGTACTAGCAATGTCAGGTTCGCATTTGAAGGCGACTGTTTCCGTCAAGTTGATGGTGTTGCTATGGGAAGTCCGCTAGGGTCCCTTCTAGCAGATATCTATATGGGGCATACTGAAAGTTTATCGAAGGATTTAATTGAAAATGTGCCACTTTATATAAGGTATGTAGATAATATTGTAATCATCAGTGATAAGTCTTGTTCTGTCACCTCAATTTTAAATCGAATGAATGAGGTTCAGAATGGCATATCATGCAAATCTGTAGAAGAGAAAGATAACTGTCCATCTTTCCTAGATATATTGCTTAGTCGACGACCTGATGAATTAATACGACGATCTATTTATATAAAAAACCTACCTGGACAGGACAGCATCTTAATTACCACAGTTTACGCCCTGTTCGGTACAAAAAGCCTTAGTAAGGTGTCTCTTCAGTAGAATCCAACGAATATGCACTGAAGATGCACTTGATGAAGAAGAAAGAAAGTTGACGCTGACTCTGGTTGATAACAATTATCCAGACAAGTTCATCAGGAGATATAAAGTAATCAGAACACCAAGACCCACTCTACAACTCGCCCCTATGAGAGACGTGTACATCAAGCTACCCTATGTGGGGGATCATAGCAGCTTGATAACTAGACAAAGATTGAAAGCTGCTGTTAAAAAGACTTTTTATGCAGCTAATATCATTCGTGAGGACTGCTTATATACTTCTATTGGTAAAAAATGTCCATGGACAAATGACCTTCAAATAAACTGACTTCATTTTATGTAAAAATTTGACTATATATTTTGATGATTAATTATAATCCGAATAAATCTGCTGAAGAAGTTGTGGCTTACACGGCGAAACGTTCAGAAAAATCTTGTTTTGATTTTCTTAACACGCTGGGATTAATTTCAATAATTTATAGTGAATCAATCTGACTGGGCGCTCAAATTATTCCAGGAAATTCGTAACACCTACGGTCTGGAAACCTATAATAATATCACAATAATTTAGAATTTGAAGCCAATGTATCTATCTAAGCCCTTAGAAGATGCGAAAAATGATGTCATGTCCCATTGTATTTACCAATTTGAATGTATGTATCGATACGCATACATAAGGAGGATTCATCGATCTCTGCAACTAAGGGCTGGTTTCAGAGCATATTCCTAAATGGCTCCCGAAACAAATGGAATCTTCAGAACTCATCAGTGGTGAGAACAGGAGACCTAGTTCTTCTTTTGCGAAACATTATACAGATAGGACATAAAATTGACGTTAACACATCTTTTAAACCTATCTATAAAACGTGTTTGGGGGAGGTATTATCCTAAAGTTTGTGGAAACTGTAGCAATTAGAAAGTTTAAACCACCTTTGTGCGTTCAAAAACAATTGTCATCATACTAAACCTCCCTTGGTAAACTTTGTCTTGATACCAGCCAGGGTAGATGTACTATTACCTCTGTTGTTTTGTTTTAGTGATCTTTATTGTTACTTTGACCTTGAATATGCCCTTTTAACTTCACCTAAGTCTATTTTCCCACCTCTTAACTCTTTAGTTATAAATACATAAAGAGTTGTTCATAGGCATAAAACATCAAAGCGCAGAAAGATAGATTTGATGTCAGAGAAAGCAAATGATACAGCGTTGCATGGATACATAGGAGACATGAAAGGAACACAAAGAAACACAATATAAAGGCTGGAAGTAGCACAACACTAAAGTACTGTGCAAATGGTACGTTGAAGATAAGGTATACATAATTCATCTATACAGAGATACCAGAGATAGATAAAGTTCCACTGAGGCCTGGTTCATATCAATGTTCCAACTGCCCGATATATATATCGTGACAGTTCACTGAGAATTCACTTGGCTTTAAGTGTATAATCAACTCTGTTCATTATAACCCCTCTTTGTTTTGCCATAATACCTTTTCCATCATTCATTGGATTTTATAATGTTTGATAATGATAATCGTAATGATAACAGCTTTATTCTGGACAAAATATTTACATAATATACAGAATTTTCAGTACAATATATATTACGTGCTCTTTACTCCTCATCAAAGATCTTTTCAGTTAAAATAGTATTCTGTAGTATGTCACGCGACACAGTGATGTTCCTTCATCCCCAAGAAAGTAGGTTGACACCTAATTAATCACAGGTGAGCGAAATGAAATAGAAAAAACTTCAAAATCCGATGCTCGCTAGTGACTTGCTGCGGGATGAAGTTTCCTGGAGTTCTAATGAGAAGTCGTGGCCAGTGAGGTTCATCCAGCCACGTGTGAGGATGGATGTTCCACTGATGACATTGGTTGGGGTCACACTAAATCATGAATTCGCAGAAGTTAGAATACATGGACTAGACATTGAATCGGGTCCCATTAACTGAATGGTCTACGAGCTCGCCTTGTAACCGGAAGGACCTGGGTTCGAATCCCAGTGGGTAAGTACTGCCGATGATTCCCAAACTAGGAGAGCGTAAACAGCTGTCCAGTACTGTGTACTGGTTTTCAATGGTTCTCTAACTGATATCAATCCGTGATCAACTCGTAAAAACAAAAAATAACCCTTACAAATCAATTAAAGAGAAAAACTTGAAGTATTTTGTTGGCTTGAAATCCAGATAGCTCAGTGATTCAAGCAAGTCGCTAATGTTTGACAATATCAACCATTTTAGATTTAAACCATCCTTATGTTTTTTCATCTGTTGACTTTAATTTGGTTAGTTCGAGATAGGGGTTTGTGGACTGGTTTTCTGACCCAATTGGATGAGTTACCAGTTACTGAATATTCAACTGGCATGCCCTTTGACCAGAAGATCCTACCTTCGAAGCCCAGTAAGTGTGATACGATGAAGAGCCCCAAACTTAAACGAAACAGCTATCCAGTCTTCCCTGGTCTTCCAATGGTTCTTCTACTGATGTCGGCTCGTGATCAAAACTGAAACGATCCTAACACATTTTCTTCGAATGTGAAACTTGAAACCAGGAGTCAGTGCTTAACACTGAAATTTAATTCAAGGTTTGTTCGACAAATTATTCACCAGTTTCTCTGAATTATCAGGAGCACTAAAGTATGACTGATATTATGAAACACTCTATGAAAATGTTTTAAAATATGTAACATTCATTTTCGATAGAATCTCATGAATGAAGTTAATAAACGTGATTATATCCTCAAAGCACCTGTTCAAACCTACACTGGTTTCTTTGATATAAAAATAAAACTTGTGCCCTGTGGTAGAGAGTAATTCCATTATGGGTAAATTTTGTTGTCTCACAGTGTTATACACTAATGTTTGCATTTCGAGCACAGTTTATTGCTCATAATCATATCAAGGTAATAACACGACTTCCTAACTTCATTTATATAGTTCCATTGTTTTTCACTTGGTTTTCACTTGATTTGATTGGTAGTAGTATTTTTCATATTTCGACTATGAGTGATGAGTGATTTCTATTGCATGTGTTGGGTGTAGACTCAATGAACAAGGATTCGGTAATCAACCTCTCTCTCCACCTACCTAGATTACTTTTTAGAATTTTAACCCTCTCCCACCATGCTATTGTGTGGTGTGTGTGTGTGTGTTAATGCATGCAGTGCGATTGGTGAGCTTTATTCTAAATTACGTATCTTCTCGGGTCAACCATTCTTACCTTAGCTAAATTCTTATGTTCGTATAGGTAATCTCACTACTCCCCACCCATCTGCTAGTTTGACCTATGTAGTTGACTTCGCTCACAGTCATTGCAGGGTATTTTGTGAATTATATTATTTTGTCTAATTGGTTCAACTGGGTGCTTTAACCTACAGAGCTTGTCCCTGAGTGAGTTTGTAGGTTTGAATGCCACTATAATTCCTGATTTATTAAGAAACCTACGTAGGATTTAAACAAAATTAAACATAATTTACTCATAATGGAATTACACTGGTTTCTGTTCCTAACTCTGGGAGAACTTGTACAGTACACTCGATTCAACATTTTTTAACACTACAGAAATTCTTCAAGGTGGGGGGTGGGCGCTGATTCGCACAAACGAAGAAATTTAAACAGCTGACGGGAACAACAGGCAATAGACGAACACTCTTTAGAGAATTCTATCTAGGTTGCTTTGCCTATTCTTCGACAGATTGCCACGAGACGATTCAGTGATTTAAAAGTGTAGCTGGGCAAGCATTGTTTAAGAAAATTCAAAAATGCATACTTGTCATGTATAAATTTCAGCACCTTTTTAATACCGCAAGGAGATGAAAGGCTACAAATAATCCTTTATTATTATTAAAAATATTATTCTTATTAATTCTTTGCATTCTGAGTGGAACAAAGGACCTTACAGGCGCATCACCAGTTCTTTTCTATCCCTTAAATCGCCTCTAACACTGCTCACTAGCCTGTATTTACTCTTCACATGATCTCTACCGTTTCAACCTCACACTCATCACCAATATGTCATTTCCCTTTTCGGGTTCCACTCGGTAGACTGCCTAGCGCAATGTGTTACTCAACAGTCTTCTCAACATCCGTGCAGTCCATCTGCATTTTCTCCTGCATCTATGTTATACTATTAGTTGTTGGTTGATTCAGTGTCTACCAAAGTTCCTTGTTACATATTATTTAATTGCATGGAGGATTTCATCATGAGCTGACATCAGTTGGAGAACCACTGAAATACCTGGGAGTACTGGACAGCTGTTCCGTCTTAGCTTATTAGGACTCTTCAGCAGTACTCACTCGCAGCCACGGTTAGAACTCAGCACCTTCTGGTTAGAAGACTAGCGAGCTCGTAGACAACTGAAGAGTCCCAAACTAGAACGAAACAGCTGTCCAGTACTCCCACGTATTCAGTGGTTCTCTAACTGATGTCAGCTCATGATGAAATCCTCCATGCAATCAAACAAAATCCCTACGAATCCAATACTTGAAAATTATTCTGATGCTCACTAGTGTTGAAAATACCACATTCTTGAAATATTATTGATTCGCCTGTCTGAATTGAATACTAAGAGGAAGTCCGCCTATCTTCAAAAGTCCCTATTGGCTTAAATTGTACCTTCTTTTCAAGACCTGCTTAAAACTAACTGAAGTTGCAATATCTGTACAAATGACTTATCTTACAGTTGGCTAACAAGCATTACTAGCTAATTTGAGCGACACTCACCACTCATCCTGCTCAATCAGTAGTATGCAGAGTCATGCATTTACGATCCGTTAAGCTCCTATTTCCCGACCATTTATTTATCTAGTGTCATTATGTATATATATATATATATATATATATATATATATATAGTTGGGTGACTAACTCACCTGATGAAACTCTGTTGTATTTCCTAGGCTTTTCGCTTCACCCGATCCTTGAAAATAAGACAGTTCTAAAGATCCTAAATTCTAAATATATATTTCAAAAAGAATTTAAATTAGAGACAGGTCACATTTAGTTATTATTTATTTCATTCTCGCTGAGATTTATGCAAATATAATCTTCACATGTGTCAATCACTACGAATTTTCTTAAGAGAACCAAGGAAAAAAACCTTGTGGAATATTTGAGTAAGTTTCGGATAGGACCATTTTGCTTCAAATGATGCATTATCGATTATTATATTCAATGAAAATTCTGTACAAGGGGTAGAAACCGTTCAATGAAAAAACGCTGAAAATTCCATACTGTGTGTAAATTTATTTTCAGAATGAAACTAATACTGCAACGACAGAAGACAAGGGCCAGGCAACAGGCCGTTTATTTAGAAAATCAAGAGATATTTGTAGATTTGTATGTACATTATTAGAGGTTATGGTCAGCATAGAAACAGAGTCTTCTGATTGGTTGTTTTCTTCCTGAATGTTAATCTATCATCTCTTTGTGACCATTTGTTTGAAGGTCATACCATACATCTGCGAATCATACCTACCCATGCAAAGTCTTTGTTCTTGTTTTTTTCTCATGACCAAGATTTGGGGCGTAAACATTGACGTAAATTGCTGTCTACCAATTTTGGCTAGAAGACAGCTCTCACCACAATACCATTAAAATCAGCGATGTTCATGATTTGTGAGGAAAACTGTTTATCAACGAAAGTCAACTTCAGTAGATTCAATATACCTCCTAATGATCTAATGATATTCGAAACACATTATAACTTCACATTGTAAACTGATAGCAAGGATATAATAAAGTGTCAAGTTCATGTCATGATTTCGGTACTGACTGAATTCTACAACTCAAGTCCACTATATGCTCACCAAGCTATACAACTTGTCATTTCAGCACATTCAGAATTAATGTTAGGCAGTTAAAAGCAGTCAGCAGGAAGTCTGAGACCTAGACTTTGAGGTTGTTGACACCCGTCAGTAAGGTATCTGCAATGTTTATAAAAGTGATGCTACTTCTTGCTGAAATTCGAACACGCGTCAATCAATTCTTCTGTTAAAGGCATTACTAATGAACTATTCTGGATCACTACTGATCACATCCTAGAATACTTATAATATTTATTAACTATTTATTGATTTTGATGAATTATATTAATTAATAATATATTTCCTTATTGTCAAAGTTAATGTTACGTAAACAACAGTGACAATTACTAAAAATGTCATTATTTTACATCTTACCACATAACCAAATTGTTCAACATGACTCTGGGAAACTGAAGATTTCACAGTACGAAACTGTTCAGCAACTGTCCGCCTAGTTATATCATGCTATAAACATATAACAAAAAATGGCAATCATCAACAAGACGGTAGAAACGTTTATAAAAAGAAAACAACAAAAACACCAACTGTAGAATTTTATTACTAATACTATTCAGTGTAGTTTTAGCAAAACAAAACTATTTAAATTAATTTAACCACAACCACATTTTTCTATAATCAACGATTATAGAAGTGGAAAACTGAGTACTCAAGACCCAACCGCGGATTGAAATGAGAACCTTCAGATTACAAGGAGAAATCTTTGTCAGTTCAGCTACTTGGTAGGCGTAAAGTGGCCCATCATTTCTGACTCCTAGAACTTCTCAATGTATAACACGACCGACAGCTACTTACCAAGCGTACTGGCCGCTACTTGGTAAAAGTAAGAACCCGTCGGACATTGCATCCGTCCCTGTAGTTGTATAGTCAGTAAGAGCATCCTATAAACTGTAGGTTCTCCACTCATTTATTAGTGGTGGGAAATGCGTGAGTACTGGTGAAGAGTCCCGAGCTTGGACGAAACAGTTGTCCATTACTTCCTGGTTTTAGTGTCTCTCCATTTCGTGATCAAGTTTAAAATTAATCAGATCCTTGCAAATCCAACACCTGAGAAGTGGTAAACTTAACCAACAAGTTATTCGTTGAGCTAATACACACCTATGGCCTCGAACCTACCAATTAGAGTAGACCAGTAAAAGCAAGCAAGATAACATCACATGCATAAAATTAAAATGTTCAGAAAAGTGTAAGAATATTAAACTGAATACCTTTCATTGAAATGTTGGCGGAATAACTTCGTGTGGAGCAGAGTATATCGCTGTACGCAGCGTCAAGTCCACAAACGTATTCCGGAACATTGTCAAGCTTGGTTAGCCAGCCAAAGGAGAAAAGAAGAATGCTAGCAGCTCCATGCTCTAACACCCTGTCAACTCTTGGCATCGAGCACCACGCATGAATGTTTCACAGTGCTAAACACAGTCCCTGTATATCGTACAAAGGGAATTTGAATACGCCATCTGTACATAATCTATTCGGTATGTGAAACTGTACTTCTGCATGCAAAAGTACCTTATACATTCCCTGGCCGTACCGTGGCCAGAGTAAACTTCTCACTATAATTTTGCTTCTTTTTATTATTCAAGTTTAGCATTGTTATTGTTTTCATCATCCTTATTTAATTATCACTCTACCAGTGTTTGTTAATAACATTGCGTTTTCATACAGATTTTATATAAAAACACTATTGCCTTTCCACTAGTTCTTGTCCATTCTACACAACTTTTTTAATTAGTCATTATCCACACTTATTAAGTCATGACAACTCCTGTCGCCTTTTCTAACTTCTAATTGGTCACCCCTTCTCGACTACAGCAACAGGGATCTCTGGCAGCATACCAACCCGGCAGGAACTGATTGTGTAACAAATAAGCAAGAAGAAATGGAGGTGGATTGGTCATACTCTGAAGAAACCATCAAGTGTCATCACTAGACAAGCCCTCGAGTGGAACCCGAAAGGAAAGTGGCGAGTTGGTCGTCGGTGCAAGGGTGACTTGGAGGAGGTCATGTGAAGAGGAGATGAAAGCATATGGGCCGACCTGGAGTGAGGTGAAAACTCTAGCAGAGAACCGAGCGCAATGGAGACTTGTGGCTGAAGCCGTATTTTCCTCTAGAAATTAAAGAAAATAATAATAATCTACACTACACCTTACGTTACGTAATACGTTTTTGGAGGATAAATTTTACCAGTATCTGATTGTTCTTATGATTTCTTTTTTAAATATAATTACGATTGTACAGCTTATGAAAATGAATCATCGAAAAGAAAATTATCCTATCAAAATAAAATCTTATCCATAGTGCTGTAGAATACCTCCTAGTGAACATAGAGAAAACAGAGGTGGTGATGATAGACAACCAACAACAACGAACACCAGTCACCAGAAATTGAAGAACTTCTAAGGAGGTCAATTCTTTCACTTGTGTAGGCATCACCCTTTCAACTAAAAGTTGAACGATTAGAGGCGTCACAGCCAGTCAGGAACAGGAAAGTAAGGCAGACTTCCCCTACTCTGAAATCAGTTTGTAAACATGGTGCAGTAAGTAAGTAGGGACGAAGTTCGGATTCCCAACACCAGTGTTAAGTCAGTTCCCCATATGGGTCAGAAAAGAGTTTCCAACAGGCTGTGGAACTTCACCAACAACTACCTTCACCCCATACTGTAGATCAATAGCCAGTCAGAAAGAACTACCAACAAGTAACTCTGGGAAAAAACTGATCAAGAATCTGTTGCTCAACAAATATGCGGAAGAAAACGGGGGTGGATCGGAAACACGCTGATAAGACAGCCAATTGGTGTCCTATGTCAAGCAGCGTTGTGAGTGATACCTCTAAGGGAAATGATCAGTTCGGCTATGTTTCGAGGGTGACATGCAGGAGATCAGGTGAGAATGAGATGATGTGTTAAGAGCTGGCTGCTAGCCAAATTGGTAGACAGTAATTTGCATCAATGTTTACGTCCTCAATATTGGTCGTGAGAAAAATATGAACAAACACTGATTCAACAACCAACCATAGCAACTTCTGTATAGGTGGATACAGTTAACATATAGATGATCTGACATTCAAGAAACAGCCACAAAGAGATGAAAGAATAAATTTCACTGAGAAACAATCAATCAGAAGTCTGTGTTTTTCTGCTATCAATAATCTATAATAATGTACATGGAAATCCATAATTATGTGTTGATTTCCCTAATAAACGATCTGTCGCCTAGCCCTTGTCTTCGATTGTTACAGTGAGACCTGGTGAGCAATCGTGAAGCCAGCTAAGGGGAACTGCAATGAACAGAACAAAATGGAGATGTATTTTTGAAATTCTGTGTTCCATCGGAACCCAAGGGAATAATAATAACGCGATAATTAGTTTATGAAATCAATTTCCTCACTTTTAGTCTAATGAGGAATAAGTGTAGAGACTATTTTGGAAGTGTCTCTCTCCATAATAAGTTCTGGACTGAATTTTCAAACACCCGAGTGATATACACAAAATGCTTATAAATTTATGTCTATGCACCCAATTAATTCTTTGAAGGTTAGATAATTACACTTTTGACTAACATTGCACTGACAACAACCAAAATTCTAAGGCACAATGGACTTAACTCATGTTCTATGAAAACTACTCAAGATTTGATTGATTAATTCCACGAATATTGGGTTGACGTATTTACAAAAGATTACATTCTTATGAATCTGGACAGCTGTTATTAATAAATGGTTGAAGGTAATTGGAAAAAGCCTTGGACACCTAGATCTCATGCTTGTTAGTACTCATCCGCAAGAGAGTCACGATGGAACTCATTTCCTCTCTGAGATTCGAATCCATGTCAATCAATGCTGCAGTCAGAGATGTTGCCACTGAGCTACTCAGCCTCACGATCGGCCTCCTGCAGAACTGCATTAGATATTTTGGACAGTAAATAGTAACTAACATCATACTGAAGAAATCCAGCAAGTATGAAACCCAGATCCAAAGTCTCCTGCCGATCGTTTTCAACCACCTAATAACAGCTATTGAGGGTGCTTCATGATGTCTATTCCCTTGGTGGCCATGGTGGTGGCCACATTGCGAACTTGACTGACAGAATTCAGTCTGCACCAAAAAAGTACTAGACCTATGACACTTGTTACGTCCTAGCATTCAATCAAGAAAACCTCAACAATATTGAAGCAAAACACTTCAACGTTCCCTTTGACGAATTGATCATAACTCATTTGTTTTATCTTTTTAATTCCCTGAGGAATTATGGACTAGTATGTTGAAGGAAAGTCTAGCTAAGATGCATACAAATACATATATTTTTTTTTGTTTTTGGGTACCTTACAATTCACGAACTCACTCTGTCCTTTCCATTTTAATTGATTTATTGGATATGTTACTCACAAGGGAACAATATTATTTACCAGATGACAAAGTTGCATATACAATTTTTTGTTTCTAATCATACCACTTGCGACTAAACTACCTTGGAACTCCGTCGCGATACTTCTCATTCTTCTTCCGAAGTTGTTGTTAGGGTAGCAGGATTTTAGAAATGCTTGAAACAGGTGTTGAATTATTCCTATTACGTGTATTGTCAGTTGATTCGATAGAAACAGACTTATTCTTCAGAAGTCGAGTCCAGTCCATAGCGTACCGAACAAAGAAGTGAAGATGAGTGCCAGGAAAGGCAAGAGACAATCTTAAGACACTCTGACAACTGAAGCAGAACAGGCCGCAAACAAAGAAGACCTCAGAATATTATACCAGATAACCAGGCCTCTTTCTGGCAAGAGACCGACACAGATTAAACCTGTGTGAGGTATTGGAGGGAACCTAATTACCAATGAGGAGAAGGAAAGGAAATGATTGGCTGACCACTTCAAAGAACTCTTGAGCCCACCACCATCTGCAACTTGTCCAATAACGCCACCAATAGCACTTACAGAACTATCAGTGAACTCCAGTCTTTTCACTGAAGCAGAAATTTTGAAAACGATAAAGCTATTGAATGGAATTCCCTCAGAGGTACTGGAAATGGACATAGAGACCACAACTGATATGCTCACAACTCAATTACCGAAGAATCAGGAGAAAAGAAAATCTGCCAGGCCACAAAATAACAGCAATTCGGGCTTTAGCAAGAACTGGCATGGAATCATATTCCTGTCCTCTACAAGCAAAATATTAAGTCAAATCACCCTGGGGAAACTAAAAAATCCTCTCAATGCATAACTTTTCCCAGACAAGCTGAATTTAGGAAAAGCTTATAATGTGCGGTCCGTCGAGTGACATCACACACCACGGCATCGACTGGAACCCGAATAGGAATCGAAAAGCTGGGCGTATGTTCGAGGTTGATATAGTGGGAGGGGGAGGAGAAACCGTGAAGCAAGTCAAAGAAGATTGCATAGAACAGGTCGAAATGGAAATGTTCCGCTGAATCACTTTGTTCAAAGGGAATAATAATAATTATTATTATATCCTTTAATTCCTAGAGGAACACAGGGCTTCAGCTGCCCATCTCCATTGCCTTCGGTTTTCTGCCACATTTTTCACTTCACTCTAAGTCTGCCCACACGCTTTGGTCTCCTATTCACATGATCTCCCCCAGGTCACCCTCTCACTGACGACCAACGCGCCGCTTCTCTTTCAGGTTCCACTCGAGTGATGGCTTGTCTAGTGATGTCACTTGATGGTTTCCTCAGAGTATGGCCAATCCATCTCCATTTCTTCCTGCCTATTTGTTGCACAATCGGTTCCTGCTGGGTTGGTTTGCTCATTTCCAGAGATCCCTGTTGCTGATCTTTTCTGGCCGGCCATCTGATCTTGAGTGGTATTGAGCGAAGACAACTGTTAATGAAGGTCTATAGTTTGTTTGAGATGCTCTTTATGACGCGCCAAGTCTCTGATCCGTATAGTAGCACTGACTTCACATTGGAGTTTAAAATATGAATCTTATTTTTGATGCTGAGTGCTGTTGACCTTCACACAGACTTGGGATTAATGAATGCTTGGCTTGCTTTCCCGATCCTCACTTTGATATTTTCATCATTTCCGTCCGCCTGTAGTTGAAACGATGCTTCCCAGGTAGGTAAAGGAGGTTTTTTCTTTCAGATCTCTCCCATGAATGCTGATTATCGTCTTGTGTTGTTGTTGTCGTCTAGGAATCTTCATAACCTCTGTTTTCTGTATGTTCACCTGAAGTTCTATCTTCTCCGGATGATTCTCCTGCCAACATGTTGCTTTTCACTTGCATATCTTCCAGTTTGTGGGAAATCAGACATATATCATCGGCGAATTCCAGATCCTCCAAGTCTTTTGTGTTAGTCCATTTTATGCCTGTTTCCTCGTTGGTCGCCGTTGTCTGTCGCATTATCCAATCTACTGCAATCAGGAAAATCACTTGCGATAGTAGACAGCCTTGCCTCACTCCCATCCTCACTTCGAAGGCTTCCGTAAGTTTCCCGTTGTGGATTACTTGGCATGCCTCACTGTCGTACAACTGTTGGATGAGATGTATAATTGTCGGTGGGACCCCATAGTAGCGAAGTATTTGCCAAATGACCTCTCGATCGACGCTGTCGAAGGCCTTTTAAAAGTCGATGAAGTTTAGATAAAGAGGTGACTGCCATTCCGAGCTTTGTTCAATGATGATCCGTAGTGTGGCGATTTGATCAATGCATGACTTGTTTCTCCTGAATCCAGCTTGTTTCGGTCGAAGTTTTTCATCTAGGTTGGCGTGTTTGATTCTCTCCAGGATGATCAAGGGAATAATAATAATAAATAACTGATGATTATATCAATGGTGAGATTGTCTGTGATAGCCTTAGGAAGGCCGAATAGCAGCTTAAGAATATTGAAACTATTAGTAAATAAATAAAATATGATTTCAAATCATTTAAACGACACACTTGAAGACTACATCTCATCATCAGCTTAAGTAAGTTAGAGAACTATTGAGAACCACGAAGTACTGGGCAGTTGTTTCATCCTACTTTGGAACTCTTTGGTACTGCAAGCCTATGATCCAGCTAAGTATTGAACCCAATTTTTTCAGTTTACCAGGAGAGAAAGTTACCATGTTTAACCAGTGGGAATAAATACAAGTCATACGTCTCAAACTAGGACCAAACAATTATACAATACTCCATGGTTTTTACATTTGCTTCTGTTATTGATTTCGATTCATGATTAGAACTAAATTAAAAATCAACCAAATCGTCATAAGTCAAAAAAATACACCTAAAAACTTACAGACGCTGAATCTGATATCCAGTTATATGAAAATCCACCAGCTAGACAAGCAGGTACTTCTGGATCACGACAAAATGCTGCCATGCTGCTTTCATGCTGATTTGCTGAAGTTACAGCCAATACTATTGTAGAAATAAAATGATACATAGATATGCATTCATTTAAATGTAAACAACTGAGGTGCATATAATGCTTAGGATGTATAAAGTCATGATAAATTCATTGAAAAGAGTTTGACTGTTGCGTAACATCTATTTTTATTATCACAATGAAAATTAGTTAGCTATTTAGCTAGTAATTTGATGTCAGAACAGTTGAATATAATCGGCTCAAGGTCGTTAATTGAAGTTCTTTGCTTACTGTCATTGATCAACAAGGAATTTACCCAATCCTTAATGGAAGAGGGTATTCCTTACGAGATACACCATACTGAATAGCACCAATAAGGGTGAAACATCGGTCCAAAGCATCCTTCCGATTACCTGCAAACCTGAAAGACTCATATCGTTTCGCTGAAAGTGTGAATCACATGAACGTTTTCACCAAGTTTATGGTGTCATTTAATGCAACCTCCTTGTTCACAATGATTCCCGTCGATGAAACTACCGAGATCATTTGTCAGCAGTCTGATCCTCTCCCACTTGCAGAGTTGGAATTCAAACGCCTACTGTTAATGTGTACCATGGATGTGTAATTCCAAGTTGACAACATTCTTTACCGACAAGTAGATGGTGTAGCTATTGGCAGTCCACTTAGTCATATTTTAGCAGATACATTCATATCCAACCTTGAAAGAACATAGGTGAAGCATGCAATCAACGAAACAACTTCTTAGTGTCGATATGTTGATGACACATTTGTAGTATGCAACAATAAAAGTTATGCTTCCTACCTACTTCGATTATTCATTGATGCACATACCAATATTGAATTTGCTATGGAACACGAAAGTGATGAAAAATTCCACTTCTTCGACATTGCCATGCAACGCCTGGAAGATGATAGTCTCCAGAGGTCAATTTACTGAAATCCTTTATGAAATTAACAATATCCACATTTTAATAGTTTTGTCTAAAATAGCTTCAAACGAGCATTTGTCAGGAGTCTGTGCTATGGAGCTAGGAGAATATTCTCTACATAGAAATTAGAGGTAGAATTTACGTTTGGCTAACAGATGTTGAAAAACAACGGTTGCCTTCAGAGATTCATCAACAAATATGGAACATGTTAAGGCTCAAACATCAAAAGAATCACAGTGGTGAAAAGCATGTCTTCATTCAACTCGATTTTAAAGGTGAAAATATTATAGCAATTGTCAACAAAAGATTGAGGATATCTGTAGGCAGAGCCTATCCTGCAGCTAAGCTCGTTTCTGTCTATTGAATAACTTGCTCTTTGCTGCAATCAAAGGTCGACAAATATCCTTCTCATGTTAACTGCAACTGTGTATACAAATTTACATGTATCTTTGGGATCAGTTACATTGGAAGAACAGAAAGAAGGGGATATCTACGATTTTCTGGACATGTACCACGAAGCTTATGTCTAAAGGAAACAAATGCTTCAAACAGTGCCATCTTTAGGCATCTCGTTGACACGGGTCATGAGGTGGACGTTGCAAAATCGTTCAAAATTACCAATAGACAAAAGAACTCTATTCTCCCAAGTTTGTTGAATTATCCCCATCAAGCGCCTGAAACCTGATTTGTTCATTCAGAAAGAAGCAGTTATCAGCGTTTCTTTGACCTTGTAAATGGATATTTTCACCCTCTCTTTCATCTGATTACGTAATGTCGAAAGTTTCCATTGTGTATGATCATTATTGTTCGGGATAGTCTTTATTATATATATATATATATATATATATATATATATATATATATATATAATTACTGTATATTGATTGTTTTTTGTTTAAAAATGAACTCTATGCAAGTATGTCAAAAGTGTTTCTGTAGATTTATTTAATAGCGACTTTAGCCTGTAAGCACCTGATGGAAGGTAACGAAATAAATGTTGGTACCACTTTATTCTGCAAAAACGTTTGCTCTTGCTCTATTCAAATTCATTAAGGGGGAATAAATGTATGACACTCAACATCAGTTGAAAGCGTATTGCAAAGATGACACACCTAAGCTTAGTGATGACATTGTAAGGTTTAATCAACATCAATACTGAGATCTGTTATTATTGTTTCCTTTAGTTACTAGAGGAACATAGGGCTTCGACCATACGTCTACATTGCGTTCAGGTCTCTGTCAACCTTTTTACCTGGCTCCACATCACCCCACATGCTTTCAACTCTTCTTCACATAACATTCTCCATGTCCCCCTCGCACTGACGACCAACGCGCCGCTTCCCATTCAGTCGGTTTCCACTCAAGCGATGGCCTGGTATGTGATGTCACTCACTTGATGGTTTGTTTTCTCAGAGTATGGCCAGTCCATCTCCATTTCTTCCTGCATATTTGTTGCACAGTTGGTTCCTGTTGGGTTGGTTCGCTCATTGCCAGAGATCCCTGTTTCTGATTTTTCTGGCCGGAAATCTGATCTCGAGTGGTATTGAGAGAAGACAGCCATCGATGAAGGTCTGTAGTTTATTTGAAGTGCTCTTCGTGACGCACCAGGCCACTCATCCATAAAGTAGCACTGATATCACATTGAAGTTGAAAATCCGGATCTTATTTTTGATGCTGAGCACAGAGTGCTGACTTCCACACAGGCTTGAGAGAAATGAAAGCTTGGCTTGCTTTCCCGATCCTTGCCTTGATATCCTCATCACTTCCGTCCGCCTATAGTTGAAACGATGCTTCTCAGGTTGATAGGTAGGTAGGTAGGTGAAGGAGGTTGCTTCTTTCAGATTCCTTTCATTTTTGCTGCCTGATTGTTGTCTGTTGTTGTTGATGTTGCTGTTGGCTAGGAATCTTCATCATTTCTGTTTTCTCTATGTTCACCTGAAGTGAAGTCCTATCTTTGATGCTTCTTCTGCCAACTTGTTACTTTTCACTTGCATATCTTACAGTCTGTGGAAAATCAAACGTAAATATGCCATCGGCGAATTCCATATCCTCCAAGTTTTTGTGTGGGTCTATTTTATGCTTGTTATATTGACGTTTAAACAAGCAATATTAGCAATGAATCAGTTAATTTGCAAAATAACACAGTCACAACAGCCATTTTTTATACTCCCAGAAAGTTTTCAAAATTTTTAAAACAAACCGTTTATATCTGGTGATAATATATCATAGAACATTGATCCTGAAAAGCATGATTCCATATAAATTAACATTTTATTATATTTCCCATCATTATACATTTGTGTTAATGTTTCATTGAAATATAAATTTGTTAACTGAAAGGAAAAGGAAATAATAAATGCATAAAGATTAGAAAATGTTTTGCTAATGTTCTATTACTCTTTTTTTTAACAAATCATCACTAACAACTAAATTGTCACTATGGTTGTGGTGAGAGCAGACTGCTAGCCAATTGGTAGACATTAATCGACGTCAATGTCTAGGTCACTAATACTGGCCGTGAGAAAATATGAACAAGGCTGATTCAACAACCAATCACAGCAGACTTAACGTGGACAAATATGATTTGCAGATAGATGGCTCCACTTTCCGAGGTTACCCGAAACAACCAATCAGAAGCCTACGTTCATCTGCTTAACTTCCGAGAAACAACCAATCAGAAGACTGCGTTTGTCTACTTGAAATGTAACAACAGAAGACATGGTAACAGAGAGGAATGATCATGAGAAGTGGTGAAATCAAGCATTGTTTTTTATTCTGTACGATAGTTTGTGATCAATTATATTTAGATTTTTAAAAATTATATTTAACGGGTAGAATATATCAAATAACCAGGGTGATTTGCAATTTCAACGAAGGATAAGAATTTTTTAGCATCCTCCAAGCTTCGATATTAGGTCGTGATCGTTTCATTGTCAGTCTTGTTTACACTTTTATTACCGAGCAGGTTTTGCAAGGGAATCGCTGATGTGCCACTGGGGATGGAGTGAACGAAAGTGTCTGATAGGGATTAAAGGAATTAAATATGGTTTACTGAACTAGGTGTTGCAGTGAATGAGCTGGGCTCAGTATTTCAGACTATGCTCAGTCTGTCCCCTCGTAATTTGAAGTTTATGGGCCATTGGATCTGGTTACAGTTGTGTAATGGTCTAAGACCTAGCTCACCTTGTAACAATAAGGTCCTGGGGTAGAAACCCTGTGGGTGCGTACTGCTGAGAAGTTTCAAGCTGGGACGAAACAGCTGTCCAGCACTCCCTGTAAGTTTTCCAATGGTTCTTCAACCGATGTCAGCTCATGATGAAATCCTCCAACCAATCAAACAAAATCCCTACAAAAACCAATATTTGAGAATTCAAAGTATCACTGAAACATAGTTTGTCTATAACATAGGTATCATGCCTCGGCTTTTAAGGCTGATCTGTGATAGAGCCAGAGATAGCAAGGTTGGTCCAGTTGTTCTGTTTATTTATTCTAGAAAGTCGATAGGACGTGACATCATGACAAGTGAAATTATGATTTATGACATCTCTTGAAGGCGTAAGCTTGTAACTGACATTTTACATCAAAATCGGAAATGTCGCTAAGGCCACTTCGTATCATAGCATTTAAAGTAGGGGAGTAACAGAAGTTAAGATAAATGTAGTGTGAAATCAGGAGTCAGTGCAATAATTTGATTTGGTTCTAGAAGTAACTTACGAATAATAGCCAACTAGACACTACGGAGCTGTCACCAACTACTTTTCTCATGTATAGAAATAAGAAAGCGATTCTTCCTCTACGGTTCTTCGAAAAGAGGGGCTCAGTGAATAGGGTTAAAGATGCTTTGATTAATTCTGACTTGTTTTTACACTACTTAAGTGAATTTATCTTTGATGATCGAACTGTAGATTTATAATAGACAGTTCGGAAGGAGGTTTATGAATGGACTATATTCAGTTAATTTGAGTAGCATGCAGGAAATCATGTAAGGAAGAGATGAAAGCTTATAGGGGATTGTGCAACCTGTAAAAACGACTCTAGAAAATACGATGAAATAGATATATTTTAATGTAGTTGTGTTCTCCGGACTAGATGGTTTATTTGCGAAGCTTCCATTGCCCCACTAGGCAACATCTTCAATTTGAAGTGAGCTTTCCCTCCTGGTGACCTTTAACGTGATTCATTGTTTTCGTGTATTTTTACACTCTCCGGGTTACTTGTATTGGTGGTGATTGTTTCCTTGACCTGAAATTTTACCCTTTGTGGATGAGATTTCCTCTCTATAGGCTGGTGAATTTCGTCTCTCTCGATGTGTTTATTCATTGAGAATTCACTGGAATACCAGGCAGCCTTCTAAAAATTCTCTAAAATTCTTGGTGTTTCCCCCGTCTTCAACGTCAAAGTCCCATTCTCGGATGTCTTACTCAAGCGAAAAATCACAGGAAAATTAATAACTCAAGTTTACCGAAAATTAGCTCACACTCAGTTGCAACAGCAACAAACCAATAACTCACAAAGGGAGTTATATGCAAACACTACACAAGAGAACCATGACTCACTAAGCACTCCTACCTTAAGGAAAACTGGAGGAAAATATCTTGTGGACGCCATCCAAAAGAATGGATATCCACGGAACTTCATCAAAAGACATTTCTCTCCATGCCAACCAGCCAAATCAGAGGCCTCTATGCACAGCACAAAGAAAATCACCCTACCATATATAAAAGACATCTCAGATATCACTGTAAGACTCTTCAAACCTTTAGGAATTGATGTTGCACACAAACCAAACAAATTACTTCACTCAGTTCTATGTCAACCAAAAGACTCAACAGCGAAAGAAGATAAAACCAACATCATTTACAAAGTAAATTGTAACAACTGAGAAAAACGCTACATTGGCCAAAGTGGACATCCCCTTTGTCTTCGTATCCACGAACATAAGCTAGCCATCAAAAGACATGATATCCACTCCCCAGCTCATATCACTACACACAGACAATCATGGACATCAATTCAACTGGGACAACTAACGTTCAAATATTAGACAGAGGAAACACGAAGAATGCTAGAGGATGTTTAGAAGCTTGGTATTCTAGTGAATCATCAATCAATATACACATCAACATAGACAAAATTTTCCAATCGATAAGAAGGAAATCTCACACACACAAAAGGTCAAACTTCAGGTGAAGGAAACAATCAGCATCAATTCAAGTAACCCGGAGAGTGTAAAAAACACAAAACAGCCAATCACGTTCAAGATCATTAGGAGAGATAACTAATAAAATGGTGGGGGAAATGTGAAAGCTCACTTCAAATTGAAGTATGCTGTGAAGATGTTGCCTAGTGGGGCAATGGAAGCTTCGCAGATAAACCATCTAGCCCGGAAAACACAACTACATCATGTTGAAAGTGACATATGCTGTCGAAGGCCTATTTTTTCACTAAAAACCTAGGGAATAATAGTAACAGCATTCAGTTATACACTGGCATACAATAAGTTTGAACCAAATGGCAGTCTTTAAAATGTGATATAGTAAGTTGGAGAGACATTAACAAAGAAAGTTTTATTTAATAAATCAGCCGAGGATCCACTCTTGTCCGAGGCACTTACAATACTCTACTTCCCCTATGACAAATCAGAAAGATAAACGAGAACCATCAGAATCAAGTTTCGAAACAGGGTATTTACAGTTTTGCTCAAAACTTTTCATCCAACAGATGATACCATTCCACTGTGTGATATGTATACAATTAACAAATTATTATATGGAATTGCATATTACTACGGTGTTTGAGTTTAACACATACAAAGAATGGGACTTCAATTTGAAGTATGCGCTGAAGATGTCACCCAGTAAGGTGATGAAAGCTTCGCAAACTAACTATCCAGCTCAGAGAACAAAACCACATCAAAATTATCCACCTGAGCTACAAATCTTCTCTATCATATCTAATGGGACTTCTATATACAAAGAAGAAATCCTTATTGAAAAATGCTTCTTAGCCATGAGAGAGAGAGAGAGATGATAACCAAATCGCTGAGTGTATGTGCAGGTGCCTAAATCCCCAACTAGCCTCTCCTTCTATTTTGTCTTTATCTAGTAAAATTGATATCATTTATTGACTATATTGTGTGTTTGTGTGTGCGATTATTCTCGGCTCATCCTGATTCTAAATTAATGTATATGTCACTCATGACTTCTCATCTTATATCAGACTCACTGACAAATTTCTTAAGAGCTACACGGTCTGGACTATTCGCGACGGTTGGTAAAATAAGAGATTTCATCATTACACCCGTTTGTCTGTATAAATGTTTTACTATGACAATGCAAAACTGTAATGTGGTCATTGATATAAGAATAAAACTTGTGCCCTGTGGTAGAGAGTAATTCCATTATGGGTAAGTTTTGTTGTCTCACAGTGTTATACACTAATGTTTACGTTTCGAGCACAGTTTATTGCTCATAATCATATCAAGGTAATAACACGACTTCCTAACTTCATTTATATAGTTCCATTGTTTTTCACTTGATTTTCACTTGATTTGATTGGTAGTAGTATTTTCCATATTTCGAGTATGAGTGATGAATGATTTCTATTGCATGTGTTGGGTGTAGACTCGATGAACAAGGATTCAGTAATCAACCTCTCTCTCCACCTACTTAGATTACCTTTTAGAATTTTCACCCTCTCCCACCATGCTATTATTTGGTGTGTGTGTGTGTGTGTTAATGCATGCAGTGTGATTGGTGAGCTTTTTTCTAAATTACTTATCTTCTCGGGGTCAACCATTCTTACCTTAGCTAAATTCTTATGTTCGTATAGGTAATCTCACTACTCCCCACCCATCTGCTAGTTTGACCTATGTAGTTGACCTCACAGTCATTGCAGGGTATTTTGTGAATTATATTATTTTGTCTAATTGGTTCAACTGGGTGCTTTAACCTACAGAGCTTGTCCCTGAGTGAGTTTGTAGGTTTGAATGCCACCCTAATTCCTGCTTTAGTTAGAATCCTACGTAGGGTCTCAAATGTCCCCTCTTTCTATGGTATAACTGTAGATGACTTATATTCTCTCTTATTTATGTTATTATTACAGTTTCACAATTCTTTTTCTTTTTCTTTTGCCCTTTTTCAGTCTTCCTAATGAATTTAACATCAACGCCTCTTCTATCTGTTTGATTTCATTATTTGGGACTTTTCTTGTGCTGCTTAGTGCCATTGCTCGGTTTGTTAAACACTTAACTAAGCCTACCTTAACAGTTAACAGATGAGAGGAATTAAAGTTTAAATATCTATTAGAATGAGTTGGTTTTTTATAAAAACTAGTGTGTAGTTTGCCTTCTATTCGTTTTTATTTTACAATCTAACATCGTGGCTAATTCTCCTTGTTCATTTTCCAAATTAAATGTTAATTTTATTCCCTTCACTAGTGAGTTTATGTGTGTCAAGAAGCTAGGGATATGTTCTGTTTTTAACACTGTCAAAGTGTCATCCACATATCTCCACCATATCTTTAAAGTAGGGTTAAATGTATTAAGAGCTATATTTTCCCAGCTATCCATAAATATATCTGCTACGATAGGGGATATCGGGGATCCCATTGCTACACCTTCAGTTTGTCTATATATTTTGCCTTGGAATTTCAAGATAGTAGATGTGAGGTATAACTGAATTCCCAAAATAATTTCTTTCTACTATTTTAACCTATGTAATTTACCACACAGTCATTATAAGGCATTAGATAAGTTATATTATTTTTCTTTATTGAATCTGTTGGGTCTTTAAGCCAACAATACTTGTCTCTGGCTGAGTCATCTGTCATCTTCCATCCTAATTCCAGCCTTTCAAGGCTTCCGATATTCCTCCCGTATTTTGTAGTACTGTTGAGGTTTTAAATTATTTATATTATTTTCAATATTCACGTTGCTACTCTTACTTTGAATGTTTGCCTTATTTGTTTGATTTCATTGTTTAAATATTCTGACTCTTCATTCTTTGAGACCCTCTAAACCAATAGCTTACCTACAATTGTGAGTATGGATGACCAAACACACAGAACAAAAAGTATCAGTTACTTGAAACATGTTGTGAGGAGCAGTACACAAACTGAAAAGAACTTCAAGGTTATTTTTGACAAAAAAAAGGTTTTAGAACTAATCTTCTTCAAATTGTTCAGTTAGTAACTCTGAGGATTTGCATGTTAACCAATACAAATGAAACAATGAAGTGGCATCAGTACCTTAACCATGAGAAGGTAAGCTAGTAGTTTATTGATTTAAGAATGAGTTCACTCAATTTAATTTATTTATTTTATCCTTAGGTGTATTTCCATGCTGGAGAGATGCACTGAAGATGTTGAGTTCCCTTTTGTCCACATGTAGAAACATACTGTTTCGCATAAAAGTATCGAGGCTACAAAAATCAATGAACCTTTCTTTCATTTCGTGCAATCAAATTATTTTAGAGTTTCAGTAGTTTCTAATGTAATACTGTAACGATAGAAGACAAGAGCCAAGAGAAAATCAAGAGGTATTTATAGATTTTTTTGTACATTATTATTGGCGTTATTGTTATCAGAGAAGCAACCTCTTCTGATTGTTTATTTTCTTTCTGAAGGTTATTCTGTCATCTTTTTGTTGTGCTTTCATAGACAGTCCGGTGATATATCTGAGAATCATATCTGCCCACGCTAAGTCTGTTGTGATTGGTTGTTGAGTTCCTCAAGGTTAGCCTTTGTTCTTGTTTTTCTAATGACCCTGATTTTTGTCTACAATTTGTCTTGGAGACAGCTTTCATCACAAGTGTGTCAGTGACACAGTGGTAAGATGCTCACCGGTCATGCATGTGGTCTAGGATTCGACCCCCGGAGGATGCAATCTTTTACCTCGCTTACTAAGCCGGTAATAAGACTGGTAAAGAAAGAAGGTTGGGCATGAGGCTGGTAACCCCAAGCCGTAAAAATAAAACCACCACTACTACCGAAACGCCAAGCCTCTAGCTTGAAGTCCTAATGTTCCACTGGGAACGTAAAGGAATAAAAAAACACAAAATTAGTGACAAGTGATATATCTGGGTGTAGCGAGATAACATGTTTTATGCAGCCTGATAGTTAACAATACAACAGTGAACTGTATGTCTTTCTCTAAATTTACACAAAATGAAATACAATAACTTCTATCTACATATGTCAACTTACTATGTCACCGGCATTAGGAAACAGAAATGTACCATCACTGCCATGATCAGTCATATATAAGAAGATATTGTTTTCTGAATTACTAGAATAAAAAGAGACGGATTAAAATATGAGTTACTGGCGATGAAAACTACTATTCTATTGGGTTTCAAAGGGAACATAAAATATCAGCAGCATGTCACTATTTCACTCTGTTCTCTACAGTTTCTTTTAATTGACTCTAGGATTGACCATAAGCACCCATGTCCTCTTTATTACACGATCTCCTCCGCTTCCCCCAAATCACCATTCAGGTTCCATTAAACAGTCTGATTAGTGTGTGAAGTCACTTAGCAGTCTCCTTAGCGTATGTCCATTCTATATCTACTTCCTTCTGCTTACTTTTTGATGTTAGGCTGGTGGTTGATTTGCTGCTCATGTCAAATGATATACGATGGAAAACTCAGCAAAACCACTTGAAGTGAAGACAGGAGTAAGACATGATGACTTATTGTAACCTATGATATCCCCAATTATGGCGAACTGGATCGTTCAACAGACCTTCAGGAACGAGAACTGGGAATATGTCGGTGGGATAAGAAGACTCTAGAACCACCTCAGCCTGTTCAAGTTTGTATGGAATCTTCAGGACGATGATTAATTCCGAAGCTCTAATAATTTTCTGCCAACCACCCAGGCAGTAAATAGCTGAAATGCTTGGGTGCCGTCGTTAGTTTCTGTGAGCGATGAGGGCTGAGTTGGTGGATAGCGGAGAAGGTTGCGTGATGTGAGATTCGGTTGGCCTAAGTAGACAGTAACCCAGATCGCGCACTCGATGTCGTCCCAACTTAGGCGGTTAAAGTAGATAACCTGGGACTTTGGGATCTTCTTCGTTAGTAGGAGTGACAAGGCCTGACTGCTACCCCGTTTTCATGCGAGCGTGCTAGTTAGAATCCGACCCAGACCACCGGGTGGTGACGATGACTGATCTGCAAAGCAGGAAAGATTGTGCAACTGAAATAACCTATGATATTCCTAATTGTGGTGAACTGGATCATTAAACAGACCTTCAGAAACGAGAACTTGCAACATGTCGGACTGACAAGAAGATTCTAGAAGATTTGGATTTCGAGGACGTTTTATGTCCAATGTGGCATAAAGTCGAGGATTCACAGTTGAAAACCGGCAAGTTGTCAGAAGGCATAGTGAAGACAAAACTTGAAGCGGATATAGAGAAGACAGCTGTCATGAAGACACACAAGGAACTAACAACAACAACCACCGATTGCCATCATTGGGATAAATGTGAAAGAAGTCACCTCTTTCACTTACCTAGGCAGCATACTTTCAAATGAAGTCTGAGAGAAGTTAGAATGTCAAAATAAAAGCTTCACTAATGTAAAAGTAGTGTGGAGATCTACTGCATACAGTCAATGGAATAAGATAATAATTTTCACACTTAATGTTAAGTCAGTGCTTCTACATGGCTTAGAAGTTTGGCATGTGCATTGCGAACTGCATTTCCATCAGAATAGGAATGTACAGTGCAGAGAACTAGCCAAAAACCTAACACGCAGAAGTAAGCAGAAAGAAATGGAGATGGATTTGACATACTCCAAGAAACTGTCAAGTTGTTGAGTGGAATCTGAATAAAAAATTACAAGTCAGCTGTATGACAGAGAATGACATAGGAGATAGTTTAAGGGGGGGGATATGAATGATTACTGTCAACTGTACAGTCGGTGAAAGAGGCCTTCAGTGGACAGGATGAAACAAAGATGTGCTATCGAAGCTTTATGTTTCACTCGGAATCCAAGGGAATAAATAATAGACTGGTAGTCAATTCAAATTAAACATATAACAGAATTTCTGTCATTTTACACGGCATCTCATCACCACTTAACGCTAAATGACTGAGAGTATTTTACACGGCTCACTGATAATTCATAGTTACAAACAAATACTCCTCCACGTCTTACTCGGTTGGAAGACAACATCTAGGAATCCTTTAATCCTACAAACAAAAAGAGGTGTACCACTTTGAGGGATAATATTATATTATTGTTATTTCCTTTAATTTCTAGAGGAACATAGAGTTTCGGCCGCACGTCACCGTTACGTTCGGTTCTCTGTCAACCTTTTCACCTAGCACTACGTCTCCTCACAAGCCTTCATCTCCTCTTCACACGACCTCCTCAATGTCATCGTCGCACTGACGACCAACTCGCTGCTTCCCATTCAGTCGGGTTCCACTCAAGCAATGGCGTGATGTTTGATGTCACTCACTTGATGGTTTGTTTTCTCGCAGAGTATGACCAATCCACCTCGATTTCTTCCTGCATATTTGTTTCACAGTTCGTTCCTGGTGAGTTAGTTTCCTCCCACAAATCCCTCCCCGATGCCTATCTCTTCTGGCCGTATAATCTTGAGTATTGAGAGAAAGACAGATGTTGATGAAGGTCTATAGTTTGTACAAAGTGGTTTAATGCATACACCAAATCCAATCGGATCGATCAAGTCACAATTCGAAACAGCATGGAAATTTCACTGTCATGATAGACTACATGAAGAATTCGACTTTCTTGAAAAACCAATCGTCTTGTATTCGATTATTTTTTTTGGAAAAAATTAGGTCGATCAGGATGAAACTATGGTAATTATAAAAAGTTTTCTATCATCTTTATCATCGTAGTCATAGAAGAAAAGATACTTTCAAGAAAAGACAATGGTTCTTGTTGAATAAACAGAAGAACTAATACATTATAAATTATTTAAATTAATCCCAGCGTGTTAAGAAAATTAAAACAAGATTTTTCTGAATGTTTCACCGTGTAAGCCACAGCTTTTTCAGCAGATTTATCACGGCGAAACTTTCAGAAAAATATTGTTTTGATTTTCTCAACACACTGGGATTAATTTAAATAATTTATAATGAGTCAGTCTGACTCGGCGCTCAAATTATTCCAGGAAGTTAGTAACACCTACGGTCTGGAAACCTATAATCTTATTAGAAGAACTTATAGTTTCTTTGCTTGAATGTACTCGATAGTTAAACTTTTGTTCTTTGTACAACACTGATTGTACTGTTTATGAACAGAAATTGAAAAAGGTATCCATCAGAAGTCATTTCTAATTGTGCTTATAAATAAATGTAATTCAATAAAGGGAAAATATTTTTTTGATTACAGCTTAATTCCACACCGTAGTTTTGGTACAAGTATGGAATTTTCAGCCTGGATATCGGTAGCCTAAATTTTGCAGGTCGACCATAGATATCAGGTGTGCGTCGTCAGGGGATCGAACCCCGGACTATGTGCATGGTCGGCAAGAGTCCTAACCACTATGCCACCGACGCACACAGATATCTATAAAACACAAAAATAATTGACCAAAGAATATTTTCGATAATTTCCTCTTCTGGCTCTACAATTATATATGTATGTCCATATACATAGAATATTCTAGAATAGTAGTCAATAACAATATTAGTGTTTTTTAAATAATATCGATATGTTGAAAGGATAAAAGATTTCAATATTGACAATCAATTCATGATATCATTTGACGTATCTTCCTTATTCACCACTGTACCACTTATGGAAACAGTGGACTTTGTATGCGAAGAACTCATAAGACTAAACATCGATGTTGGCATTCCTTTATCTTTTATAAAAGAGCTTCTCTTGAAATGCACAATGAATGTCCACTTTTTATTTAATATTTATTTTTTTTTTTTTTTTTTTCATGCCACGGAACTATATAGACAAATCGATGGTGTGGCAATGGGGTCACCACTAGGACCCATTCTAGTCAAATTTGGGTCTTTGAAATATGTCATTGATGAACTTGAATTCTACTGTTGGTACATGGATGAGACATTTTCAATTATGGAAAATAAGAAGGAAGCAAACAACATCCTGGATAAATTCAACGACGTTCATACTGCTATGAATTTTACTATTTATAAAGAAAAATACACTAGTATTTCATTTCTAGACATCCTTATGACCAGAAAATAGGATAGCACAATAAGAAGAAGTGTATATAGAAAACCTACATCAGCGAGTTAGTGTACTCACTCATTTTTCAGCTTCGTGTCCTTAAAATATAAACGCAATCTAATAGGCTGCTTGGTTTACAGAGCAAGAGCAATCTGCTCGGATGAATGGACTTAATAATATCAAACGGTTGCTGAGTGAAAACGTTATTCAAGAAAAGTTTATTGATAAGAATGTGAATCTAAAATCAAGGCAGCCCAAGGTAAAAACAGTTCCTAAAAAGGCCTTATTCCTACAAATTCAGTTGCTCGTGGACAAGGTCAGCGAAATACTGACACAATGCCTTAGAAATTTAGTAAAGAGAGCATTCTCTGCTGGGGAATTACGCTATATCTTCAAAAAAACCAACCCTATTTTCCATTCGGAGTAAAAGATAAACTGCCTAATTTCGCCTCTTCCATGTGTATCTACCAATTTAAATGCTCCTATGGAATGAGTCAGTTAGATACGCCGTACAGTTAGCCGTGTTTCTCGTCAGATTTCCGAACATCACCCTGATTAGTGGTGGTAGCACAGCGGTTAGGACGCTGGCCGACCATACACATGGTGTGGGGTTCGATCCCCGACCGACGCACTCCTTTACCTCATTTATTCAGTAATAAGACTGGTGAAGAGGGAAAGTTGGGCATGAAGCTAGCAATCCCATCCTGTAAAAATAATTACCAGTGCTACAGAAACTTCAAGCCCATAGCTTGAAGCCCTATGTTCCACTGGGGAACGTGACGGAAATATAAAAAAAAGTAAAGGACAAACGAAATCTATTCGTAGCACTATTCTATTTCATCTTGTCGATACAGAACACAAAACTGACGTTAGGTAGGCTTTCAGAGTCATTTACCGCATACCAACAAATCTTAACTTCGCCTTCAGAGTTCGTTTACTAAATATTACTGAGGCTGTCTGTTGGCATCCACATTAAGAAGCTTAACTTATGTGTCCAAAAGAAGCTGGTTCAGACATTGTCCTTACCTTGGCCATCTAGGTTAGAATGATCCTTAATTTTTGTGGAAATCTCCCTAATTTTATTTGATATTCTATTTGCTATTATATCTTTATTATTATTATTTATGCATCTTTGATGAACTGTAATTGCATTGATCTTACTTTACAAATCGATATTATTTAAAAAACGCTAATATTGTTATTGACTACTATTCTAGAATATTCTATGTATATGAACATATATATAATTGTAGAGCCAGAAGAGGAATTATCGAAAAGAATATTCTTTGCTCAATTATTTTGTGTTTTATAAATGTAATTCAGTTGGTTTGGAAGGTGAACTAGAGAAGAGTTTCTTTTTCAGAAGATGACTGCCAATAATGAACTGACACAAGCGTTAGGTGATAATAATATTTCTAAATATGAGTTAATCCAATATATGAGTAACACTGATAGTGGGATAATATTTAACTGTGTTTTCTGTGCGTTTACATGATCACAAGAACTCACATTTCATATCTTTGATCGACAGGAGATCAACAATTCCCTAAAACTTGGAAAACTGAATCAGTTTCACTCTCGTTGCTTAAAATGATGATTTTTCAACACTCATTAGTAGATCATATTTGTGATTTGAATATCCTTGTTCAACGACTACAGTTGAAGTGAAAGATCATTTATGATTAAAAATCCCTCAAATATTTTAATTAATAATTTTTTTTAAACTCAGTCAACTGAATCACTAAACGAACACTAAAGACATCTGACTTCACGCAACTCTTTAAATCGAATCTCTGTAGGGGAATCTAAATGATCGAAATTTAGAGATCAAAATGACAGTTTTGTGTTAATATCATCATGATCTGATTAAAATAAGCTGTACTTGATACATTTGATGTATCTGATTAAATCACATTTTGTGGTTCGATTTCTATTGACAAGTGTGGTTAGATAGAATCTGCAATTGAATTTAAACAAATATCACCAACAATGCAGAAAATTATATTTAACAGGATTTCATCATCAGCTGACATTGGTTAGAGAACCATTGGAAAACCTGCAGAAAGTAGTGGGTATCCAGCTGTTTCGTCCTAGCTTGGGACCCTTCATCAATACGCGCCGACACTGCGGAGTTTGAACACGGACCTTCTGCTTACAAGGCTAACGAGCTCGCAGACCATTAAGCCACTGGGACCCGATCCAATGGCCAGTCCATGAATTCTAACTTCTGCCAATTTACGATATAGCGCAACCGCTAGCCAATGTCTTCGGCGAGTATTTGTCCTCACACACCCAACCTACTACACCCTGCTGGTCACGACTTCTCGCTAAAACCCCAGTTAACTACCTACTTAAATTGGGCCAGTCGCCAGTACTCTCAGGTTTTCCAATGGTTCTCTTCCGAGTGTCAACTCATGATGGAATCCTGTAACCAATCAATCAAATCCCTACAAACCAAAACATATTTCATTCAACGAGGTGTAACTGCAATTTTGAAGGAACTGTTTTTTCCGCCAGTCACTCAAAGCTACATTCAGATAGGTTTTAGCCAATACGGTCCTCTAAGAGGTCAATCAAGCACCGCGAATAGCTCGGTGGCAATGTCTTTAACTTTCAAATTTGAAGGTACGGATTTAAATAACCAACGTTGTATCAGCTTCTACGATTTAGCAGACACTTCTTGGTTCTGAATGTCAATAAGCAGGAAATCTAAGTCCATGGCTTCCTTCAAATTCTCTCCACCCGCTGAAATATCAATTCAAAGTGTACCTCGGCGCTATTTTATCAAGCCTGCTGATCGCACTGTAAATTTGACTGATAGTAAGCACCAATACTAAGAACTAGACACATGGCATTGATTACTTCCCAGTGACCAATTACAGTATATATCATTCAAGAGGTTATTCAGCAATGTTGCTGCAATAGTTGTGTGCAAGGTATGAAGTATGGTTTTGATCATATAATCACAGGAACCAGTATCACCAAAAGAATAATCGCCTAAAATAATTTTGGTTAGTGGTGACTAGCAGTAGAATCAATGATGCTCTTTTTGTCCTACTTGGGACTCGTCAGCTGGATGTATATGCATTCTCAATGAATGATGTTGACCCGTTTCGTTGACAAGTCCCAGATACGACAAAATGGACACTTTGGATTTCACTGATGATCACGCCAACCAAAATGACTTCCCGTTAATCCTTAGAAGTCGTCGAAACGTCAGCACTAGAAGCGCCAATATGTCAACAGGGACCGAGCATTTCGATTCAATCATAATCAGTCAAATGGAAATGTAAAATTAACTTGAAAACAAAAAATAAATACCTTTTTAAGACTTTCTGACCAGATGACTCTAACTTTTTATCACCCAACAGAACTTGAATAAATTTGTCCACATTTACATCCTGTTTTGTAATAAGAGAAGGAAATAATGAATAAATTTATACTGCATTCTTTTAAGGTCACATTATTAGCAATAAAATGATAAAAGGAATTTTAGATGAATGTCATAAAAATGGCGTAATAAAATGAAGTCATAAATAAACATTTTTCTCAATGACTTGATTCGTTACACTTTCTTATATATATATATTTGTGAAAAACATTACATTGGTTTAAGTGGACACCCTCTTCGTCTTGATATCCACGATCATACACTGGCCATCAGAAGACATGACAAACACCCCCTCATATCACTGCATACAGACAACCACAGACACCAATTCGGTTGGTATATTGTTCACATCTTAGACAGAGGAAACACCAAAAACGCCAGTGAATCTCAGCCCTGTTTTAGCAGATATATTCATGTCTAGCCTTGAGAAAACAAAGTTGAAGCATGTAATCAACGAAACGACCTCTGGGAGTACTGGACAGCCATTTCTTCCTAGTTTGGGTCTCTTCATCAGTACGCACTCCCTGGGTTCGAATCCAGGACCTTCTGGTTACAAGGCGAGCTCATATACCATTAAGTCACTGGAACCCGATCCAATGGCTAAGGGTCGCACTATGTCGTGAATTGGCAGGAGTTAGAATTCATGGACTGGCCATTGGATCGGGTCCCAGTGGCTTAATGGTCTACGAGCTCGTTAGCCTTGTAAGCAGAAGGTCCTATGTTCGACCCCAGTAGTGTGTGGTACTGCTGAAGAGTCCCAAAATAGGACGAAACGGCTGGCTTTCCAGTACTCCCTGCGGGTTTTCCAATGGATCTCTAACTAATGTCAGCTCATGATGAAATCCTGTAACCAATCAAATCCTTACAAACCAACACTTGAAACAACTGCTTATTGTCGATATGTTGATGACACATTTGTAGTATGCAACAATGAAAGTTATGCTTCCTACCTGCTTCGTTTATTCGATTACGCACAAGCAAATATTGAATTTATTATGGAACATGAAAATGATGGACTGTTCCACTTCCTCGACATTGCCATGCAACGCCTGGGAGATGGTAGTCTTCAGAAATCAGTTTACTGAAGGCCTACATGGAATGAACACTAATTACACTTTAATAGTTTTTGTCCAAATAGCTTCAAAAGAGCACCAGTCAGGACTCAGTGCTATAGAGCTAGGAGATTATGCTCTGCGGAGATAAATTAGAGGAAGAATTTATGATTCTGGAAAAGATGTTGAAAAACAACGGTTACCCTCAGAATTTCATCAACAAATATGGAACATGTCAAGGCTCAAACATCAAACGAATCACAGTGATAACAAAGTATGTTTTCATTCAATTCAATTTTAAAGGTTAAAATATTGTAGGAATAGTCAAAAGTAGATTGAGTCTGTCACTAGTCACAGCCTATCCTTGAGCTAGGTCGGCTCACGTCTATCGGACAACATTCTTTTTGGTGCACTCAAAAGTCGGCAGATACCCTTCTCATGTTAACATCAATTGTGTATCTGTGAGAGCAGTTACATTGGAAGAACATGTACCGAAAAGCCTGCGTCTCAAGGGAACAAACGCTTACAATGGTACCATTACCAAGCATCTCTTTGATGCGGGTCATGAGGTGGAAATCGCAAAATCCTTTAAAATCATCAATATACCAAAAAGCCTAATTCTCCTCAAGTTTGTTGTAGACGCCTGAAACCTGATTTATGTGTTCAGAAAGAGTTAGTTATCAGTCTTGCCTTGTCCACCTGGTAACTGGATTTCCTTATTCATTTTCATTTGATTACGTAATCTTTGGCTTTAACCTCACCCCCTTGATATAGTGTAGTTTCGCTTGTCGCTTGTTTCTATGATTTCAGTTGAACTCAGTACACTGGCACTTAATTTATTATTCACTCAGAATCTTACATACCTCTTGACTTTATTACGTAACTCCTTACCACTGTATGCCAACATTTACTTGAACTCCCTGCGTAAAAAACTATATAAGTGAAATTTTCTTAGCCGTGTTCACTAAGTCTGGAACTTCCTGTCAACTGACATTGTGTAAAATTTGCAAGTATGTTAAAACTTTTCTGTACATAAATTTAATAATTTATTTAGGCTGTAAGCAGCAGCTGATGAGAAGCCAACGAAATAAATGATGGTACCATATTATTCTGCATAAACCACTGTTGTTCTTGCTTTAATCAATCTCCATAGGCCTGGTATTCAGGTGAATCCGCAATCAGACGACATAATGACACGGACAAGATTTACCAATCCAAAAAAGAAAAGCTGCATGAACAAAAGATCAACTTTCAGGTTAAGGAAAGAATCATTACCAATACAAGCAGACTAGAGGGCAAGAAAATACAGAAAAGCAACCAATCACGTTGAGAGTTATGAAAAGGGACGACTAACAAACTCGTGAAGAATTTAAAAAGGCTCACAAAGACAAGTTCCTAATTCTTTAGCAGGCTAGAATTTTTATTTTTTTTTTTTATTTCAGCTTCATTCCACACTGTATTTTTGGTACATGCATGGAATTTTCAGCATGAGATATCGGTAGCCCAAATTTTGCAAGCCGACCATAGACATCAGGTATGCGTCGGCAGGGGATCGAACCGCGGACCATGTGCATGATAGGCGGGAGTCCTAACCACTGATTGATATTTCTTAGCAGTCAGCAAAACCAAAGTAGCTTTTCTTCAAGTTTTATTTCGTCTTAGTTTTGGACTCTTCGATAGTACGCATTCGGTTATCCCACCAGGAATCGAATCCACGTCCTTCAGGCTGAAACAACAGTAAGCTGGCGAAATGTGGTGACCGACGAATTGTACCTCCAACGGATTAATGATATGCAGGGCCACCGCTAGCTAGTATCTCTGGTTAGTATTGGTCCCCATACTCAATTTGGTAGACTCTACTGGTTGACCATAATTTTTTAACATAAATCTAGGAGCTTTGTGTTGTACTTAGCCGGTAAATAATGTTCAACAGATTCGTCTTACTGACTTAAGCAAACTCTTCGTTATTAAACATAATTTTATGCGAAATCACCCAGATCATTATCTTTAGATCAAAGTTCATGCACATATGATAACTCCTATCCTTTCAGACTAAAATATATAACATTTCAGTAGTCTTATAAGTTAAAATCACCTTTAAACTGTAATAATCACCATGAATCGCAACAGAAGTGAACATCAAAGTTCAGAATATACTAAGTAAAACATCATGTAACACGACGTATGATGCCTATTCAACTGATCAATGAAATATAAAGACAATGTAGAGTATAAGTAGAAAAGAACTTTAAACAAAAGCTTTGTTATTATTATTTTTTGATGAGCTGATTTCATGATTAACCGTACTAATTCAATAGTTCTATAAATGATATCAATCCTCTGGTTTAACTGGAAAAACAATTCTAATCCTTAAAAATTAACTCTTGAAAATTAACCTGATGCTCACTATTGACTTGCTATGGGACGAAGTTTCCTGGAGTTCTAGTGACAAGTTGTGACAAGTGAGGTTTATCTAGTCGGGAGTGAAGATGAAGTTCCCACCTATGACATTGGTTGGTGGTCACCGTAAAAATATCCCGAATTAGTAGATGTTAGGACTCATGGGCTGGGCAGTAAGTCGGGTATCAGTGGTTGATAGGTATCTGAACTTGCCTTGTAACCATTAGGTCCTGAATTCGAACCCCAGTGGTAGGTGCATAACACCGATGACTCTCAAACTAGGCTGAAACAGCTGTCCAGTAATCCCTGCTGGCTTTCAATGGTTCTCTAACTGATATCAATCTGTGGTCAAGTTCGAAAAACAAAACGAAGCAATTAAATGTCTGAACTCATTTTCATTTAGATAGGTGAGGTGAAATCAAAATTAGGCGGAATTTTTAAAAGAATAAATGTTACAGTAGGCGAAATGAATTCACCCTGGCTTTTAGAAATTAACACAAACACTGGAGAGAGTGAGAAACCTTAGTCAAACTATTATTGTTTTATTAAATTAATATTGATTATACCTTGAGATCATGACACAAAATAATACTGATAAGTTGTTATATACTACTCACATCAGCCGATATCGCTTGTTAGACAGATAGGCAGAAGTCTAAACACCTGATAACCTAGTTGTCCATGTAACAAGAGGAATGTACTGCTTTGATTCAGTAACACAAACACCACGAAATCACACATTACAATCAATAATTATACATGTATTTATTTGAGGAAATCCTTAATTTTTTTTTACTACAGCTTGATTCTAAGCCGTATTTTTAGTAAAGGTATGGAATTTTCGGCATGTGATATCGGTAGCCCAAATTTTGCAAGCCGACCATAGATATCAGGTATGCGTCGGCAGAGGATCGAACACCCGACCATGTGCATGATCGGAGAGAGTCCTAACCACTGTGGCACCGACACACAAATATCATAAATGAGTTCATAATCTAACTTTGTTTGGGTATTTTGAAGCTGTATGTAACCTAACCTTATGACTTTTATTCCATTTTGAGTAAAAATGTCTTTCTGCTTATATGTTTAATTGATTTTAAATTTCTGAACAGCTAAAATATTTTGTATGCTTTTATGCAACATAACAATCAAATACTGATAGTACTCATGTTATTTTGGTTAATACTGACTAACATAGGAATCAACGATACTCACTCTGACTTGTTTGCATTCAACAGCTGGATGTACTTGCACTCTAAGTGTGTAGTGATGTCTCTTTTGAAACTCGAATCCATCAATGATCGTTTCAAACGCTAAAGTATTTTTTAGGACACTTAGGCCACAAAAGTCACATCTTGCGCAACGGTATCAGTTGTTATTTGTCTTCAGATTAATTCGAATTTTTCATGGATTGATTCAAAATGAACCGAATTTTCAGTCTCTGTTAACATTTTTGCGCCTAGTACGGATGCTTCTATACTATCTACACTAGGAACTGGCACGTCAGCAGAGACTGAGTATTTCATACCAGCAAGGGTGATCAACGGGAGATGCGAAT